TAAGATTGCCAGCATTATCGTTTTTTTTTGTATTTTTTAATTCAAAGTGTGAGCCCAAAATTTGGAAGCACCTCGTTAATGATGAAAGAAACCCTATCTGAAAAGGTTCTTTCTCTACGCGAGAAAAAATGATTTGCGGAAATGTATTTTGCGATCCACTGATTTAATTTAGAAATGCATTTTACTTTCCGCTTATTTACTCTTGTCAGCAAAGAATTTGTCTTCCTATTTCTGAGGCAGATCTTTTGCGATTGTTATTTATTACTATAACGGCGATTGATGAAGTATTTTTTAATATCACACTTAAAATCTTCGCCATATGGTCTACGAAATTTAAACCGAATTAGTTCTCTGGTTTTCATCTTGTGCCCCCAGATATTTGAATGTGGATCTTTAGTGGGATGTCAAACTTTGTGGTTATCTACCCAATTAGAAAAGACCTATTGAACTTTTTTCGCTGATTGCGTCTCAGAAAATTTAAAATCTAATGTCAGTTATATCGCGAGGTTGCAAAAATGTAATGAACAAAAAAGCAAAGAATTAGAGATAACGAGGAAAATTGAAGAGAGCATCAAACCTTTTTCCGTCTTTTTGAGAGAAATTACTCTTGTTAGATTGTTTTTTTTTTCTTGTGAATGAAAAGCTTATAACCTGATTTCATTACGTGTACGTGCATGTTATTTGCGTGAAATGTGTGGACACAAATGAAAAAAATAACCGACTCCTCCTACAGGTGGAATTAAAACTGACACGAGTGACGGAAATTTAACGAGATGTCGGCGCCTTGTGTTCTGCAAGAGGTTGACTGATGATAGTTTTAACTCCACTTTGGTGAAAAATATAATTTTTGTTGATTGTAATCGAAGATATGAGATTAAACGTTTTTTGTTGCGACTAGGCAAAAAATTTAAAGTTCTATGATACTGGGGTTTTCAATTTGAATGTTACACGCAATCTCTTAATCCTTTTAGCATCTTCGTGATGGATATTGGCATTTTACTTTTAGTGCAATTTCCTGGCCGCTGAATTTCCCCAAGCTTTCCTGACATACTTCGTGTGACACTATCGCCATGCTTTTAAAAACGCTTCCCTCATTAATACCGCCCAGAAATATACAGAAACTGCCTCGTAATGAAGATGATATCGTTTTTCTTTTTGATAAGCTGTGTTTGTAATTCTCATATTTTTTTTCTGAGAATGAGTCCTCAAAAAAGAGGTAGCTTCACGCGGTACTGTATCTTTAATAACAAAATAAACTGTGTTTTCGGAAGTCCGGAAATTTCAGCCTTTTACCAACTGTGAACTCTCCTAATTTCCAGTTGAGCCCTTTTATATCTTGCCTTGACCCACAAGGTCCAATATACGTTTGCTTTCGTACTTTACTCTATAAAAACATAAAGTTTATACCTTTTTTACAAGTTTTTTTTTTTTTTTTTTTTTGTGGCCGAAAAAAAAGTGAGATTCAAATTCATGAATGTTAGGTTGAAAAACCCTTTATAAAGACAATCCCATGATTGATATTCGTGGTTGCAAAAACGACGTATCATATATATTTTAGTAACCGAAGGAATGCTGGTTTCTCACTGCGCAATATCCGTCAGACTTGGAGGGCACGATCCCAAACCGAGATGTTTTGTTCGAGGCCAAGACGAAACAACCAGAATGTTTTTCTTTCTATGAATCGACTAATCTATGGATTAATGAAAGATGCAAAGTGATTGAAGATTTCAATGCGCAGTAACAGGAAGTTTTAGTTTTTTTCGGATCAAATTCAACTAAAAAGCAGCGAGGCAAGAGGTAGGGGTCACTTATTATAAAACAACGCTATGATCCTTTGACAGCCTCGAAATATGTTACATCACTACAATAAATCAAAACTTCATTCAGTAATCAATAGAGGTCTTATTGCGAAGCTTCAAGCTGTTGGATGGCTCTGAGCATTTGAAAAAGAGATTAAAGGCAATTCTCTATCATACTGATTCGATCCCACTGTTCAGGTCACTGTTACCTTTGTGCAATAATAGTGTGACAAGGTTATTATTTCTAGCTGTCAAAGGATCTTCTTGCTGACAAACGATAAAAAGCGTACTGAACACTACCCTATCAACTTTCAGACGAGCCTAAGTTTTCGCGCCAATTTAACCACTTCAATTCTCGGCTTAAGGTGATTCCTCTGTATTGCACTGGGCATCCTGTTCCGCGCGATAAAAACCACATAATCAAGCGAATGAGCGCGCACGCATTCCGAGAACATGGCATTGCTTTTCAACCAATTGACGAGGTAAACAAGTACGAAAGTACGATGGTCTTTCGCTCTTAAACGAGCAAGTTGACCTATATTTCTTGTTGACTAATTTTGGGATGTAAATAAGCCCCTTTGAATTGAAGAAACTAAAAAAAATTATTATGGGAGAAAAGGTAAAGCTAAAAGCGTGGACGAAGTGGAGGATGCAAATTACCACCAAAGCAACGACTCGAGGAACCTTTTGAGTCAATGTTGTTTAAATTGCTTGGTTTTTTTTTACGAATTATATATTATTTGTTCCATACGCTCGAGACTTTCTACCTAACAGGTAGTTTTTCCAAGTTTTACTTACTAATAATCCTTAATTCCAGTTACCGCAAAATCTACCGTGAAACGATGAAATAATTCGTTTTATTAGTACCACTTCAGCAATAAATGGGGTAAGATTGGCCCATAATGACTTAAGCAAGCACTGCGACCTATCTTTATTAATATAGTTTTCGAAACAGACCTTGGGAGGGAACATTTAAGGATAGTTTAAAAAAAAAATTGTTCAGTAATTTCTTTTTGCGAGGAATCACCTTCAGCGATATTCAAAACTCACAAAACTGGCACGTTGCGAAATGTAAGTATTCGACGCAAGAATAAAGTTGACAATCAAAACCAATTTTCAACCTTAACAAACCAATTAACAATTGGTTCATGCTTTAGCGTGCACTATCGAGTTATGGAGCACGTGGGAAGTTTGGAGAGCACGAAAGAAGCGTAAGAGTTGCCCGAGGCAATAGCCGAGGGCAACTCTAGCTTCTTGAGTGCTCTCCAAACTTCCCACGTGCTCCATAACTCGATAGTGTACAGCTAAAAGCATGAACCAATTGTTTTCTAACATAGCCGGTGGAATTGTGCATCAAATCCGACGCAAAAAAAGGGACAACAATATCAGAAGTGATTGTTCGCGGTAAGCTAAATATTAAGCAAAATAGGAATTGGTTTTATTTCAAATTTTCTGTTGAATGCTCGAGTTTTATTTTACTGCAGTTTGAATAAAAAATTATTTATTTTTAAAAAAAGAAATCACGCTCAAGAATCGTGACGGCACTGATGCCGAGTCTTTTTCTGCCTCATTTAAGAACTCTAGCCCAAGGGAAAAGGTCGGAAAATTGTCTTCGTTTTGGGACTGGCGGGTCGAGTCTCTGTTTGTATCCATTATTGTCGCGAAATTAATTATTTTTCCCTGCGCTAACAGTGGCCGCTTGCGCGAAAAAAAAATTTCTGGCGAAGCGATTTGCTTACGCTATCAGCGTGCACCATCGGGATTTTGAGCACGCTTACGTATACTGAATTTGATTGCGCGGCTCTGCTAGCTATGTTATTATATTGAATTGACAGATGGAGGTCAGTTTGAACCATGATCATAATGAGATGAAATCCTTTGAAAGAATAATCACTGCAACAATTTTTCAGCTAAAAGTGTCTTTGGTTAGATTATTTTAATTAGGGACAATTACTGATTATAATTTAGGCGAAATTCTGGCTCAAACAGGAAGAGTAGAGAACAGAAAGAGACTTGAATTAGGTTTTGCGAAATAAGCCACCTCCCAGATCACACAGTATGGTATGACGAAACAAGTTAACTGAGTCCACTTTGAGGAAATATTGCTAGTATGCCAAGCATGGCTCTAAAATGCTTCTTTAACCGTTTTCTGGAGTGTTGAAAGTTTAATTAATCAAGCTCGCTGAGGCACCGCCCACACTAAGATAGCTTGGCGCTCGCGCTCGCCGAGCTATCTTGGTGTCGCTAATTTTGGGAGTATCACCTTTCCGCGGACCTTTGAACCAGGCTTTGAAGTGCAGCCAGTGTGGAGACGTGTTTCATCTTTTTTATACGCGGAAATAAGAGATGCTTACCACTGTTGTTAGTGAAGTACAGCCAATGATACTTGTCTGTAAACACAAGATGGCCACTTAACTGTACAGTCAATTACTTGCTATGTGTTAGTAGACAACGTAGATGTCGATTATTTTGTATTATCGTTCTGAATGCTAGCGTGTTGTAAGAAGATACTCAATAAACTGAAAGGATCAAAAATTTCCTTATTTCCTCCTACGATGAAATGTCCTTCAAATAATCCGTTTTACCTTGTTCGCTGCCAGACGGCGTGACCGGAAGACACGTTTTCATATTAGCACTGACGATTTCCTTGAATTCAAGGGACAAAACTGTACCGGCCATTGAACGTGGGAAACCTTTTGGCGTATAGCCTACATTAACTCTTTTGACCATTCGGTACAGTAAAATCAGCAAAGGAATTGTGCTGTGACTATGATGCGTGAAAAGCACATGATGGGATCATAAGGGTCACAGCAGATTGTACTTAGCTTTTAGAGAGCAAAGTAATTTGAACTTACGCCCACTACTTGACTTTGATCAAAATAATTTTATCAGTAGTCTTAACCCACTGATGATTTCGCGTAAAGTTACTTCCAGTCACGTCCAAAGTGTAGGAAAATCTTTAAGTCAGACTTTAACTGACGATTCATTTCTTCGAAATGTTTGCGCTCAGTATGCGGCATGGCATCTTCAACGTAAATGAAAATGAACTCAGAAGAAGATCAAATTTGCCTCACTTTTACATAATAAATGAAGTGAACCTTGAATGAGATAAAACAGATCTATTTGTTTAAACGAACGAGTTATTGCCTTGGACGCGTCCAAAAAAAACTTTTAAGCATCAGTTACTTTTGACTGACTTACTGTTGACTGCAGAGCTCTACAATTGCCACATATATTCTTGTCACAGTGATTCACGGTCCTTTGACGATCACCAGCCTCGGTCCGTACTCACATGACGTCTTTACCCTCAGAATTTTACTGAAAGGTTACAATGATTCGGTAAATAAAATTGTTTGGAGTCCCACTTGCTCTTTTGTTCGTGACGAATAAGCACTCACTTTCGGTTGTAAGGACATCCCGTGCGTGTACAGCAGGTTATTCCGCTATTAATATCAGACCTAATCGAATTAATTAGTACGAAAGAGCTTACATAACAACTCAAGCACAAGATGGTTCCCAACCAATCAGCATGCGAAAATATCTACGGTTATTCCAAACGAAGAATTTGGCATATTTCCTAAAACGTTTATAGAAGGTGGATTATTTGGATAATTTTTGTTATCGAGATGAAGCAGGATGCAATAATCGCATGATATTATCAGTGTGATAAGTCTGGCAGGGGTTCACATGAAAAAAAGTTACTTTTTTTAAGTAATAGCAATTCCAAAAGCTTGCTTCGTAACCCTATAAAACTATATACCACAAGAAAGCTTATGATACATTTTGAAGAAGATTTTAACTTGAAGTGATTCGTAACCTGACACTAGCCCAAAATTCTTACCAAGCTGTAGTTAAGAAAAGATATCTAGCTGTAGATTACATGGAATTATGTTGTTTTAGTATCAATCTAGAGCATCACCCTCTTAAATGAGCATAGAACTTTTTGAGATAATAGAAACATTTTCCCCAGTGCCCTTCCAAAAGTGACTGATATATTTGAGGTTACATCGATTACAATAACTTGACTTCAAATCAACATAAGCAGAATCTCTGTGCTTATTTAACTCAACTCAATGAGAAAATCAACCCTGAAAATTTCAGATTAATTGGATAAATATATCTCAAGATATCTTTTCTCAAAGATCTCAAGTACGCGTTCTGAGAAAATGAGCTTTAAAGTTAAGAAATGCTTTTTTAGGATAGCCACAAAGACTACAAGTAATAAGTTTATGTATTTAGTGCATAATCAGTTTTGTGAGCAGACGGGACTAAAATAATTGCGCAAGTGTTATCTAGAGAACGTCTGACTTGCTTTTATCCCCTATTATATAATAAGCTCAGTTATACACGCGTTTTGATTGGTTCTCACTTATGATCTATTGGAGGACAGACGTATAGATAACGTCATCATTAAAACTTTTTTAAATTCTTTATTATATAAAACAAATAGATTCCAAGTTGCCGTGCGTCTGTTCAGTAATAGATCACAGAGGACGTCAAAATGTGGTAAGAACATCAGTGACACACTCGGTTGCGCCTCGTGTGCCACTTTTTTGTTCTTACCACATTTTGACGTCCTCTGTGATCTATTACTGAACAGACGCACGGCAACTTGGAATCTATCTGTTAATTAGCTCCTAATTTATCAGCGAAAAAAACTGAATTTTAAACGCATTAGGCTTAAAAATTTGCTCTCTTCAGCTTTTTTCCAAGGGTAAGCATGCGCCCTCGGCAAATTGTTTATTATCTGCTCGCCTCTTGAAAAATCACGATATTTTGCGATAGTTGGTTTATCATTCGATTAACGAGTTTGTATGTTTCTCAGTTAATTGTTTGTAAGTTTGTTTTTTGAATTATCTTTGGGAACTTCGCTCAACAGCCTAGGATGGTGAATCTCGACTTTCTACGGAATAGCGTGGACACAGCTATTCATTTGCAGCAAAACAGCCGTTTTGCAGGTTGTGTTATGCGCCCGGCAGATAGAAAGAAGAAAACTGTATCAAACGTTGATCAGAATCATTTGCTTGACTATTAATGCTTACAACGAGGTAAAAGCATATGACTCAACAAGAGAAAATCATGGTTGTTCAGGGAACTGTCACAGGGAAATGACGATACATCACTTCGCAAATTCAGCATGAATTTCGTCCTTTGAGTGCTAAGAAAATAGTAACAAAGGTTCACTGTAGTTGCCTCAAGGATATTCATACTGATAAAACGATTACATATACAAGGGTTGCTGCCAGTGGCAACCTATTTTCCGTCAAAACTGCTCCCAGGGATTTGAGTACTTATAGGAAAATTGAACGATAAATGAATTTCAGCTTCAATTGAATTAGACCCTCAACTTGCTAAAAGTCTATCAGCTTTTTTAGTTTGGTCATATCTTCTAGTTTCAATTATTTCTTTGTATTACCTTACCTTTTGAAACGAGGTTGTTAGTTGTGGGTCATCGAGGGGAATTAGAATCGTTCTTTAAATTTTATAAAATTTAGGTTTCAAAGAGAGCCGAATAATGTGTATTCAAAGTAGAATATCTTTTTGTTTCATAGAGCTAAGATATTGCTCAGGCAGGTTATCGGTGTCGGAACTCCTATGAGACAAGAATAGAGATAATGATAAATGACTGACTTATGTAACATTTCACTTGCGCTTTACTTATAACCAATAATTAATTTGACCTTGATCAATTTGGACATCACGGAAGGCCTTTATCTGATGACTTTGTTACTCAATATCGTTATTTGCCATATGACGGGTTAAGCGGAAGGGAAAGATTAAGCGGGTCCTTTGCAGTTCTACCGAGCTAACTGATCTTGATCACTTGGAGTTACATGCTTTTCTCTCGCGGAAAATTTCTCGAGCACAATCATTTGAGCAAGAACAATTGATAAGTGGCGGATTGCATGAAGGCATCCAGGAAGCAAGGGTTTAAGATTTATGTGGCGAGGGCTCAGATATTTAGTTTCTGCTTACAATTTTAAAAGCCCGACCCTGAACGTTCCGGCAAATATGATGACCTGCCCTATCGAAACCCCTACTGATAAACTGACTCATCCTCGCTATGACGGCTGATTAATCGATTGAACCTTACACTCTAACATCATTAAGCATATTCTCCATACTGTTCTCTATATATTCCCTCAGGTGCTGACAAGGAGAATTTGTGTAAGAATCCAGCGCTTTTTTAATTGATGATCATTTCCTTCATTCAAATCGCCTTAGTGTTTGATTCAGGAGTGATACTGTATATAGAAACTAGGCGCTAATCACTCTATGGGGTCAAAGGGTCAATATTTTATACTCCATGATCTAAGAATATTTTTTACCTTAAAAATTATTTATTTCGAAAAGGATTTTAAAGATCTAAGGAAGTTACGAATACTCAGATAATTTTCAGTGAATCCAGAAGTTGTCTGTTGAAAGCGGTTAGTGGAGGAGTTCGACTGTTATAAAGACTAGTAGCTCGGCACGGCTTTCGTTGCCTAAACTCGCACGGTTTCACGAATAACTAATACCTTTCTGTAATCTAACAGAAATAACCGTAAATATACATCATGAATTTGGAAATCTTAACAGGGGGTGCTGGTTAAAGAATGAATGCTGAATAGATATCTGTATACGGTTCAAAATCAGATAGAAATAGTAGGAAAGTGCTAATGCTTAATTGAAAAATGCGTTCACTTTTCAGGAGACTGTAAAACAGTATCCGCTGCGTATCAGATTGGACGTGGCCTAGGGCATGAAGAAAGGTGGGTGATAGTCCTACTTATTTGTTTATGTAAACTCACTGATGATAGAGCGATTGGCTTTAAAGAGAAACCGACGCAACAAGAAACGTCTTTGAAAAAGTAACTTTTCCATCAGTCTCACGCTGTTAGTACTTCTGGCGAACTTCTTAAAGCAACATTGGATTGAATATCACTAGCCGAAAGCACTACAATTTCCGTAAACAGACAAGATCAGTATTACCCAGTGTAAGCGTTGTTTGCTGGCGTAATTTGTTTAGCTTCTATTTCACATTAATGCTACAACTATTAGACTTTTCATGAGCTTAGAAGGTCTCAGGATAATTTGAGGAAACGCTTTTATGAAGAAAGGATTTAAACTCGTATTGGGAATTTTCAAGCGAATTCGATTTTTTCCGTGTCACTTTTGTCAATTGTATTTTTTCGTGCGTCATGCATAATGTCTACGTCACTGAAATCTACTTACCGGTACGTGTTACGCCATTTATCGATACTTGTTATTCCAATGTCCTCAATTCGTAATATACCTAATTGGTTGTCCTTCTCTGGGACTCGAGATCATGTGTAAGTGAATACTATAGGACTTTAACACAGACGTGTTGAGGAGACACGAACAGACCAGAAGGAAAAAACGATTGCTTTTGGCGCTCTTTTACTTCAATCGATCTATTAGAAAGTGTTGCTTCATTATTTTAAACCAAATGCGCAGATGAAACATCTATAATCACCACCAGGGGAAAATATATATCTTGCAGCTGCTATTGGCGTCTCAAATTAGTCGCTCGCCGCAACTGATTAATGGAAGTGCGCAGTTGATATCAAATGAGTTTACCAATGCAATTTAAAACCTGGACTTGAAAAGGTTCAGCGAGGCCCTTTCATTAAAGCAAGTTTGCTAAGGGGCCCTTTATTCCCAATTATATTTTATTTTGTCAGCTTTTCGTACGCTGTTGAAAAAGGTGGGAGAGCTTTTAGATTCTTTTGTTGAAGCGTTATTTTATAAAACTGCAATTTACGATTTTTTCAATGGTTTGCTGCAGCTGGAAGTTATCAAAGAAGCGTCAAAGTGCGAACGTAAAAACGAAAGCTGGCGAAACAAACATTTATAATCGACAGTCTGTTTTTGAATGAGCACTGTAAACTAAAGCTGATGATGAAATGATTTTCGTGGATCATGCAAACGTGCAAAAATCCATATTCGTTTGCCTATTTACAAGAACTCTCACCTCGGGCAATTAAAAATTTGTCGATTAAAATTTGTCGGCGAGTTGGCGATTTTATCAATGGTGGGAACTTTCCAGGCCGGAGGTGACTTTGTTTTTCAGAACACAATTAATGACGAAATTAGAACTTGCGTTTAAAGATAACACTGTAATGAGCTCGATTAGTTATCGGAGATGGCCCTACACGTTCAACATCTTCTTTTGTTACACAAATAAACAAATCCAACTAATCTGTTGTTTTAGCTTCCTATATTTAAGTCATTTCACCTTGGCGAAGAAACTTTGGAACAGCTTTTCACTAAAAGCACTCAGTTTGTTTTCTCTTGGTTTCCTTGGCGCGGAGGAACCGTTGTTTTCTAACCGTAGATTTGACTTCCTAAAATTTGTCTTTAGCTAAAACAAAAAGAACCGCCGAGCAGGTGCAAGTGATTTATTGGTGATTTTCATTGGTCGGCTCAATTCAATATTGACTGTTCCGGAAATATATGTTACTTTATGATAATAGAATATTGTCTAGGAAAGATATTATTCTGGATTTTCTCAAACTAAAGGAGGCTTGAAAACTTTATGATGGCAAAATTGCAAGCAGATCCATTGTCGCTAATGAGTAACCCTCAATTTGGAATCGCTCAATATCATTAGACAGACTAGGAAGTGGGTGTGATATTTCGTGAGATGTGATGAACAATGTTCAGTATTATCCCGCGAATCATGAACTGCGCCAGTGTTCCAGGTTCTCATAAGGGGGGGAGGCTAAGGGCTATTTTAATTCAAATTTCAAATTGTTCAGCAATTTAAGTTTGACTTAACAAAACAAATGGGTCCATGTTATTAGTCGGTGATCAAAGGATGTGATATGAGCCAATCGAGATATCTTTGATGACCTGTCAAAATTTAAGTTCATCCGTTTCCGAAGATTTCTCAATTCTATTTGACTGTCAAAGGTATTAACTAGTCTTCAAATCTGCCTGACGAGTCAAGAAAATCTCACAGCAGAAAAATAATCGCAGCTACAGATGTCCTAAGGAGATAATTTTTGCTGCGTAAAATTGGTATATTTCTTATCACGTCCGTTGAATTAATCAGCTGGCCGACTCACTTAGTTTTTCAATAGCACTGTAACTTTGGAACAGGGAGGCAAATATCAATATATATTCCGAAAACAATTGAATACTGAACGTAGCGAATATTTATATAGTTTAACTGACAAGAAGAACAGTCTTCATTTGGCAATCTTTTGTCAGTTTGTAAGAGGTCTTTTATAGCGAGGAAGACAGCCGTTGTACCAGAGGTCAAGCTTGACACTGCGAGCCTTCGAGAGACAAGCAACATCATGCATGCGAATGTAGCAAGTAACCACTCTTCGTTTTTGAACATTTTTCGACCAGCCAACGACTCTGGGCTGAATTCCACAACTCAATTTTTCTCAATTCCAAGTGATTTTGAAATAATTACCCAAGTAGTCATCCTGATTGTTGTCCTCGTCGTGTCGGTCGGCGGTAATGGCTTGGTGTGCTACCTTGTCTTCACTGTCAAACAGCTCCAAGTACCCACAAACTATTTCATCCTTTCTCTTGCACTGGCCGACTTTTTGTTCGCATTGGTGTGTCTACCTTTCCGCATTGTAAACGTGCTAGATTACTATCTGTGGACACTCGGTTTGGGGGCTTGTAGATTCTGGGTCTGGCTAGATTTGTTATTCTGCTCTGCTTCCATAGCAAACTTAGCAGCCATTAGTGTAGACCGCTATTTAAAGATCGCTTCGCCACTAACTTACGACATCCGAATGACATCAACCCGTGTCGCTGTTATTTTAGTAATACTATGGGGATATTCCATATCTCTGGCGTCGCTATCATTTGTGTCCGGCGACGCTTTGGGAATTATAGTACGAGAACAAATATGCTATATCGACAACAAGATCTACCTGACAGCAATTTCCTTTATCGGGTTTTTTGCCCCCTTCACCATCATGATTCTTATGTACTGCTTTGTATTTAAAGTTGCGGTTAACCAAGCAACTGAGGTGTTCCGTCTACAAGAGTCGCTTTGCAACGGAAGTGAGCGGAACTCAAGAAGAAAATCCAGTCGCTTTTCTGCCGGGACGATCTTCTTCGAGGTTAAGGCGACAAAAACATTGATTATACTTCTGAGCGTATTTTGCATTTGCTGGTCACCGTTTTTTGTGCTCACTTTGCTCAGTCTGTACAGTCCTGGTGCATTTGATGGCCTTCCCAGAGAGTTGATGAATTTTCTGAAGATCACTTTCGTCCATCTCTTGCCAAACTGCAACGCGGCATTCAATCCGATCATATACACCACGTACAACCACCACTTTCGTAAAGCTATTCAAAGGTTGTTAAAGCGATACAAGGCAGATCGGAGAGGGAGTTTCAACTCCTTTTCCGAGCCTGCTTCAGAATTCAAAAGAAAGATTGGCTCGGTCGTTTGGACAAAAGCCCCACACACAGCATCCGTGTGGTTCTCAACTGGTGAAGAAAGCACCCTTCAGAATTTGACAGAGTCTTAATTAGAGGCCCAAAATCTAGTGCATTATAACATACGAGGACGGGTTAGAAAATGATTTCCCAATAGCCTGAGGGAAAAAATAAGTCCGGTCTTTTTTTTTCCATTTTTTTTTTCGTTTTGATTAGGTTTATGTTAAATATGTATATATTTTTAAGAATCTCAAGTATTGCCTAGATGGTTGTTTTTAATCCTGTGTTATTAGGCATTACCCTCTTTAAAACGCAACAAAGACCTTATCGAATAGCCTATCCTTTCGGTGTTGCTAAAAGCTTGCAAATGATCATGAGAAGATTTTGAAAAGTAGATAGTGGAGCCCACGGCGTGGAATATTCAATGCGTTGGGACCGGAATTCACTAAATTCACTATTTGCATCTCGAGATTAAAAAAGTCGGTTAATGTTGAGAGCTTAAGATGATAATAGTTTCCACTCATGTTTACAGCTGTACGGATTCCATGAAAAGGGCGAAAAATTTCTTAACGTCCCTGAGTTTATCCTAGTTTTAAAAAGTAAGTAACGAATAAGGTCTGCATTATTTTGATATCAGATAAGCACAATGCCAACCGTGAAGGAAAGGGAAGCTACACTAAATTAAAATTCAAATGATTATCTTTGCAAGAGCAAGTATTGAGCTTTATAACGCGAGACCGTCCACCAACCACTTTCAAGAACACTTCTCACTGAACGAGCTAACAAAAAATGTAAATATTTTTTAATCTTTTGGTGATAAGATCCAGAGGTTTCCGCTGGTTTCGACACTTGCCAGCTTTGGTGAAAGGTTTACCCGACCACGTTGTTTACAATAAAACTAATAACGTTCTGTATCTTCAATTTATTCTTCTCTCCAGTACATTTCTGCTGTACATTACTTACTAGCCTCAGTTTTCAAACTTCCTTCGCGTCCTTTACAAAACCTTCTTTTTTTTAGGTTGATGTTTATAAGACAAACGAGTAATTTCAATTGAAAAACGCAAATAGATCAAATTAATGCGTAGACAAGATCGGAAAAAAAGATGACGGCACAGTCTAAATAAAGTTCTTAAATAAGGGCAAATAAAGAAATTTGGGATATAACTGAATTAGATAGCCTGATCGCTTTAAATGAGGATTAATATAAGTCCTTGCACTTTTCAGTTGTTGATTCACGACAGCAGAAGCTTATTCCGACCACAAATTTTATGTTAATTCAAATTGTCCTGAAAAAAACTTTTTCCCGGATTTTTCCCGAGTTCTTCTGGGATAATTATATTTTTTGAACCTTGAAAGCTGAAAAAAGAGAAGCGCTTGACATTTGTTGTAGCACACTTTATTTGGATAGGATGCATATAATTACAGCCAGACTGCAGTCTCCATATGAATTTTAAATATTCATGGTACTTATTGGCTTATGAAATAAGCTGCTACGAAGTTTTATAGCTTGATTGAGGAGATTAAGAATGAGGAATAATATATGCTTATTTCCCCACAAAACAAGCTTTGGAAATGTAGACAATAGTTTTAAGATAAAGAAAGGTGACATAATCATAAGCTGGTCTAATTCTTTCAGAGACAATAAAAATCTCTGTTGTAATCTCCAATCCATGTTGAATTCGTTAAAGCACGAACAAGTTCTGACCAGACTAGACAGAAGAAATACGCTCTATTGCAATTATTTCGTGAAGAATTTCTAGTTCTTCCCACATTGAAAGTGCTATGCAATTCTAAACTTACTGGCAGTGACAATTGTGAGCTCAAGTTCATTGTTATTTGTGCTCGACTGATTGAAAGCAAAAATCGCATCAAGAGAAGAAAATTAGTAAGCAAAGATGACGTTTTGGTGAGAGGCATTGCTCGTATTCGACTCAAGAGTTAGGTTGGCGGTAACGTTCGTTATTCATATAGCCTTTTTTGTAGCAACTCAGTCGAACTGAAGGTCCCCGTCATGTTTTTCTTGGGACTGCCTATTGCCCGTGAGCTTAAGTCTATCATCCGTTCGTTTGCTGTGGCAAGCTATCAGCTGCATTTTAACAAAGTGAAGAGGCACACCCCGCCGTGATTCGCAATTACCATATCAGACGCGGTTTAGTCGGAGCAGCAGTGTTTGAATAAGTACTTCCAATTTTATTAGCAACATGGCAACTTGCAAATAACCCTTTGAACCTGCACTGTCAGGAAATATTCCTTTTGTCTTTGAGTGTGTCAAAAGAATTGTCACATGTTGTTCAGTTTTCCATTTCAAAAGGAAATGGCAATTAGCGCATGGCTCGTAAATTGCTCCGATTAAATAATTGAAGCTCCTTCAGGTTTTGCGCAGCTGCCTTTTTTTGTGAGTCTGGATATAATATTGGCTACCGCAACTAGCTGATCGGCCAATTCTTGTTAAGTAAGAATCGTACTCGTTGCGTCCATTTAGCAAGGTTATTGATGATTTAAAAATAATCGTCGAAGAGCCCTTAGTTTGCCCTTTTCGATGAAAGTGCTCGTGTGAACGAGAGGCCGAAAATTGAAAACAACCTACGAAGAAACAGAATTTCAACCGTGTTCAATATTTAATTAAAATTGGTTTCATGTTGTTTTCTTTCCTCTTTGGTTTCAGTAAAACTGATTACTAAAGCTAAATTATCGTACTTTTTGAACTACCTATCGCTATACGCTAAATTTTGATTAAAGGCAACTGTTTTGGGGAGCCCCACCAAGCCTCATCAAAGCTAATCTTGAAAGGGAACAATTAGACGATTCTTTGTTTCTTCATAACCCCAACATATTCTCAACTAAGAGACGTGTTTTAAGAGAGGAAGATATCTTTGGAGGGAACGAGAGAAATGAGTGTATGCATCGTGGTTTCGAGGCATGGGAAACGCACTATTGACAGGAACGTTACAATTTCAGAAGGGAAGGACGTTTTGTTGGGAAAACACGTATTGTGAAGAGAGAGACGGATAAGAGAAACTGAAGAGTATACAACTTGGATGGCGAGACGAAACAACCGTAAGAACTTAAGGCCGGAACACCGCACTACTTTTCAGTTTTACTTGTTTAAGATATATCGATCGGTATGAAAGCAAACTTCACCTTTGAATCAAAAGAGAGAAACATAGCATTCCGCGACTTAAACAAGAAGACTAGCGTCCGTTGTATTTCCACGCATTCTCAGACCAAATTACAACAAATTCAAACATAAAAATATTTTGACATATATTTTCTGTTAGTAACCAAGACCCCGGATCAGACGCCTGGATTAACATTAGTCACCCACAGGCCCCACAAGGAAAGATTATAGCGGGCAAACAATACAGTTGAATTCACATCAGAATCCGACTGTGTCGAGCTTTCATGTCATTCCATTATATTGAAAAAGTTCGTTCTCGCATAGACCTTGAAAGCCTATTAATAAATAGAGCAGTGCTCGGCGCTGTTATGTTCGCCAGCATTTGCTTGTGTGCGTGAATCAAGACCTTATTTTTACGCAGTTCCTGAAAGTCTTTTGTCAAACGAATTGATGATTACATTTGCTACATTAATAAACTTGAATTATAAAAAATTTGAATCTGATCGATGTGATATAAGCCTCTGCAATTTAAATAAACTGCTAATAAAACAAAGGCTATTTGAACAATATAATATATAATATAAAGCGGTAAATTCAGTCAAGAATATCTGCTCTAGGATTCCCACAAAAATTTTCCCCTTGCAAGATAGAGATTTTCTATGCTTAAAATGACATTTTAAGGACAAAAAGATAAGAATAGCATTTCACAGTTTCCTAACGCCACTTTGGTTTGTTTGTCACGATTAAATTTCAAAATTCGTGCATCATACACGCTGCTTTTAATTCAAATCTGCTAGTTTAGCTCTTTCTGCCAAATACACGATGCACTAACGATCCAAGTGACTTCATATACGCGCTCACGTGCGAATAACAAGTACTAATGGTGCCACACCTGTGTTACAAGCGCAACCAAGCTTAAATAGACACACAGCTACCCACTTACGACATGCGTGGCTTGAATGTTAATGTTGAGGAAGGTTCTTTAGAGTTTGAATCTCCTTCAAACAGACTGAAATTGATCAGCAATTTCTTTTTCATCGGATTCGACGGATTCAGTTCAAGTCTGCTATCTATCCTTTTCCTCCGGAGTAATGTTCATTTAGCTTTTTTCTCTGCTGCTGCATGTGCGAACTTGGGTAAACATAAACCGAACCTGGTTTCAATGCCTGCAAACGAGGCCACAGCCATTCTCATGCCACCGATGTGGTCAGGATGTAATGAGATGTCAGGGTTATAGGACCTTTTTTCACTCCAGGCCTCGTGCACTATTGCTCTGTTGCAAGAATCAAAATGAAAAAACATAGTATGAAAATCTCTAGGTAAGGATTAACGATTTTTCGTAAATGGGCAGTATAAAAATGCTTTGTCACGATTAAATGGCTAAGTATCAGTGACGATGAAAGTAAGCTAAGAAGCGATACAAGTGGTATCGATGTTTTAACCCTTTAACTCCCATGAGTGACCAAGACAGAATTTCTCCTTACGATATCAATACAATATCAACCAGATAAGTGATGAGAATAAAGACAACCATCAATCTGGGGACAATTAGTTGATCCAATACTAAATTCTCTGAACTAACATTATAAGAATTGTATGGTTGACAGTAAGGAGATTATAAAATTTGATCTGGGAGTTAAAAGGTAAATGGTTCTAACAAGAGCTAACCCAACGATGATGTTTTTAGTTGAAAGCCTACAAATTTATAATGCGCTCCCCGCTGATAGGTTATAACGAAGGGTAAAAATGATACGTAATATCGATTCGTATGTAAGGGACAGAGATTAAATTTGACCGCACGTCTTTCATGTCCATGCTGTTCATTGTACTCACCCTTTTCCGCTAAAATTCACTTTAAACACTCTTTGGAGAATTTCATACGTGAGCAAAGTGACCCCAAACTGAGGCGAGGATCTGAAAACTCGCGCTATAGGCGAAAGAAACATAAGACGTCAGGATGAAAACTTTTTCAAACTTAACATCTCTTTTAGTTTTATTGCTGCTGCAATCACTCTTTGAAGAAAGTTTGATATTTGTCAATCATTAATATCTTTCAGGTGGATAGAATGGGGGGACGACCGATGCATGTAAGCGAGGCTGATGCCCTTGCTTTCTTTCTGCGATCATTCTCTTCCAATCAAGCAACGAATAAATTTCAATCATCCAATCATTGAGGTGCTGGAAACCGAACAAGCGAAGTATGCGAATCCCTCGCAGCAGCGAAGTTTGCTGTGGTACCTCTACATATGGACAGGCCGAACACTTTAATTCGCGTACATTTTGAATTAGAAAATTCAAAGAGTATTCTACTCAAACAGACCTCCTGCTCCTTTCCAAAAGGCTCTACCTCCCTCCTCCTTCCGTATTTTCCTGAAACAATCAATCACCCCTCGATATGTCTGCTGTCCTGACCGAGCTTTCACCTACGCCCAGCAAACAGAGTTTTGATTAGCAAAGTCCTTGGCTACAAGCAATATTTTGGTCGTGAGTATGATGAACAACTGTTGTTAGGAAGCAAAACTTAATTAGATGGATCCTTTAATTATTCGATCGCTTTCCGTAAATTAGACCGCACTAAAGTTGAATTCAAAGGTCAAAGCACAATACATCTCGTCAAGCATGCTTTCTGTAGTCTCGGACAGGGTGCAAATTGCTTTCCTCACTCAACTCGGTTCCTTTTTTTTCCTTTTTAAATTCTGAAAGGGTTCCCCGATTACAAGAAAAAGTTGACATGAATTTACAGAAAAAGGGAAAGAAAGCTTTTCATCAGCTTGGATCGTTACTAAAAAAAAGGATTAACAAAAATAAACTCTAAACAAGAGATAAATTTCCGCTAGCGCGGTTTCAACAAGGGGAAAAACGGGTGAAAACCGAGGTGAACGGGTGAGGATGCTTCGACGGTTTACCTGTAATCTAGTCTTGATGACGTCAGCTGGGGTTGCTAAGGCTGCTGCAGGAACTCCTGCATGGAAAAAGATACACAATGTTGAAACGCATAGGTCTTTCAAACCAATTTAAGGTATTTTCCAGCAGCTGATTAAACCGTACATTCTACAGCAATAGCATGTTGACAAGGCCATCGATCAATCAATTTCTCTCACCAGCCATCATTGCAGAGACAAAAAGTCCGCCAGCACCAATCTGGCCATTCTCGTCTTTGAAGTGAAGCTTCAGATGAGCGTAAGCCGGGAAATAAATACCAGAAAATGGAATGTCTCTTAAAAAACAAGCTCGTGCACCCTGGGTGGCAAGAAAGAGAAAACAACAATTAAGAACCTCCATTTACTATAATCAAATGTAACCAGCGCGACAGAGTCGCTGAACATTAATTCCCGCGGGACAAGCGGTTTATCCCGTTTAGAGGGATGGAAAACCTTGTTTTTTTTACTTGTTGCTCTAGTAAGGAAATGATATTGGAAGGAAGGTAGATTTGGAACTCGGTTATCAAATATTTCATGAGCATGGGACTACTATAAAATCTGACAACTGTATTCCCCCTTTGTTCCACGTTGGTGACAATACAAATAACATCTTTCCTAAGTTGTTCTGATAACAGTACCTTGTAAAGTCCAGTCAGTCCCAGTTCCCTGATGACCCTCAATGCCGTCACCTTGTCTTTACCGGTAGCTCCAACTTCTCCAGCGACCTGCAACCTGATCTTCACGATCTCTAGAGGATTGGTGAACAGAACCTGAGCAGCTCCTCCCTAAAGAAATTAACATTTCAAGTAAAACTGGCGGCTGATCGCCACGATTACTCCTCATCGTCTGCGCTGTCACCATTACAGAAATACACAAAAAGCTTACATATACGTTTCCCCTACTCTTTTGACTAACTCTACGTTTGATTAACCAAAGACCAGAGGCAATCGTGACCGCCGTAAGACTGTGTGTAGTCTTTTTTCTTTTACGGTCCCACAAGAGAAAATAGGGACCACTATTTTATCTTGGGTCTGGCGACCTTGGAGAGAGAGCAAACGCATAAATGGTGATTAAACGGAAAGGGAATGGGTCTCATCGAACACTCTTGCCCCAGTCTCCTCTCGCTCTCTTACCATTGGAAAAAAGAGAGACTGCAAGCAGTCTAAACCACCGTGTGACGTCATACAAGTAAATCACGTCACTAAAAATTTGGTAAACCACAACAGCGGGATCGACAGTCGCCATAACTACAGGAATTCAATTGGGTAGTATACAATGTAAAGAAAGCAACATCGCCATTCTCACTTTCTTTGTGTGTGTGTGACTCGGTTCTTTTTCTTCTTTACCATTGTAAAATTCGATCATTTGATTTCCACTCGCTACGTTTCGTATCTTGACAAACATGCGATAGTTGTATAAGCCTTGATATAAAACGACTGGCCCAAATCACGGATATCTTGGGGGATTTTTTCTCTCAGAGATTGCCACTTTGTAATTGACTGAATCTGAAGAACACGTAATTCGTCTACCCAGCACCTTAAAGTTTCAGTGGTTCAAAAAATACTTACACATCCACCAGCTACGATCTCAAAAGGCAAGCTTATGAATCCATCTTTATCGCGAAACACGTCACGAACAAAGTCATTTGTCTGAACAGAAAAAACAAGAAATCAGTCAAAGTAAACTTTGCTCGTAAGAGATTTTTACCTTTATCAACTGAAAAATGCACGGACTAACAGACCGACTGACCCACTAAATGTCTGAATGACTGACATACTGTCCGACTGACTGATTGACTATCTCACTGACCGACTGGCTGATTGACTGGATGACTGACTGACCGACAGCCGGAGTGATTAACTGATTGACCGACTGACTGACTGACTGTCCGATTGACCTACCGACCGACCGACCGACCAACTGTCCAACCTACCGACTTACCAACCAACTGACTAACTGACGGACTGATCGTCTAACGGAAGGACTGATTGATGATGACTATCCAACCGACTAAAGATCGACTTTTTGACTGACTTCACGACCGATTAAACTTGAAGTGAAATACAGTAATAAACTTACCGTTAATTTAATGGCCTTTTCTGGGGCAACTCCAACAATCTGAGGCAGCAATCCTAAAACAAAAAATTACACTAAACATTTAGCGTCACTGAGGGCGCCAAAGTAGAACCAACTGCAACTAAAACAAGTAATAAAACTAAAATGAAACGTGATATGTTCTTCAGTAGGTAGGGAGTCAGCAAGGTGAATGACTTATACAGAGTCGCCAAGAAATTTTAAAGAACTTGAAACTTTTCTCCAAAATGAAACATAAATTACTTAATTAGAAAAATAAACTGAAGGTTAAAGATAGAGAGGAGCTAACAAGAGATGACATTTTGGGAAAGTCAAACAAGCTAATAAGTGTCGCAAGGTACCAACCTCTGTATAATCCTTGCGGGCCTTCATTTCTAATAACTTTGAGGAAGCAGTCAAAACTGTTAGCGTACAGTCTCTCTTGAGCCAACACTGCTCGCTGATTCTGCATTCTTGTCTTGACCAGATCAATAGGGTACACTGCAGTCGCTCCAGCAGCTGACGGATACAACAACACAGCCAAAAGTTATTTTCACATTGAAGTGCACGCGTTAACAGCGAAATGAGTAAGCCTGTTTTTGAATCGAAAGAGCCAATGCTCTCCTGATGTAGATTTAAGTTTTCATTATCAACATTTCATCACTGGCCGCACAGATGGGCAAGGTGAAACGAAACTTGGTTTCTTATTGGCACGACGATAAGCCTATCTCACCCTGCTGCTGCGACTTTGAGCGTTTGGAGCGCCGGATAAGAGCCGTGTTCCATATTTGCGTCTTTATGGACCAGGATAACGAATTGATCCACTATCCAATCATCCCGATTTCAAGGAACTGCTAAAAGTACTTGGCCCATTTGTCCAAAAGGCAGATAATGTTATCCAATGGATACATCGCTACCCAGTGAATAAGTTTAAAGAAAACGTATTGCAATATCCACCGGATTGACATTTATTCACCCCTCGAACGACCGGGGCTTGGGCTTACATTAACCCTTAACACCCTAACATTAGTATGCATATTCTCCACACTGTTCTTTATACATTTCCTGAAGTGCTGACAAGGAGAATTTGTAAAACAATCAAAAGCTTCTTCAGTTGGTGATCATTTCCTTAATTCTTGTGATCTTAATGTTTAAATATCAGATAATATTGTAGGGAGAAATTATATGCTAATCACTCTTAGGGATTGAAGGGTTAACGATCGTGCCCAGGGCTCTATTGACAGATTGCAAACCGATCGCAGAACGCGATTGGTTCTCTCATCATGGTATATTTAAGCAATAGACTACAGTTGTTTTCGTTTCACCGGCGTAATAACCCACGCGGAATGTTGAGAGATTAAGAAAAAAGTTTGCATACTTTTTGAAAGTCCTATTAGCATCAAGAGTCGATTATTACGTTAGTATTTCGATGGAGGGTGTGGTTGCATATAATAGTCATGGCTTTATCCAGTATACAATACACTGCAAACCCTATTGAATAGGGTTTTGACCGATCAGAGCGCGTGTTATATCTGTTAATTTATAGTAGTTGTTATAGTGAAACCACGAACGGGCTTTGAATCGAAGGAAATTCGTCTAACTGTTCCCGTCAATGTTTATGTTCAAAGTGAGTGCCTTAATACCAAGACCCTCTCTCGCATTTATGAATAGCTGTGTACACGATACAAAGAGAACATAGAGCAAAATATACAGAAAAGCAATGAGGAAAAACAACACGATGGACTATTTCGTTTCGAACATTAATAAGACTTCACAAGTGTTATAGCGTACTTCAACAAAGCTTACCTCCAGCCACAGAACCGAGGCCAAACCGATAAACTTGCTCTACAGCTTTCCATAAGACTGACCCTTCTTCATCTTTGGGTTTGGTTATCATCTGCTACATATTCAGAAATGAGAAACAACGTATCAAAGACATAATAGAGTATATGAAAATGTAAGTAGTCGATATACTAAATAGAGAAATTTGACAATCTTCCACCAAATAAAGTGTTGACAAGACTTTCAGATTTCTTTCCCTTTGCTTGTTTGTCTTACATCAAAGAAGATCGACGATCAAAGGAAAAATGTTTTGAAAGGCTTCACAAGGTAAAAGTTTCAAGCTTTTGCCTTTCTCTTCCTTTTTGCAAATCTTTGTAATCAAAACCTCAAGCTAGAAAGGAGTCAACGATTCTATCAAAATGGGTATCAATTCTTTTTTAAACTCTTCTCAAAGAAAATAGAATTCGATTTCAAGCCTGCCGATGACGAATAATTGATGTGAAGAAGTGTCTAAAGACTGGGGGCGGGTTACAGTTATGAACAGCTTTGGAAATTAGAGTTGTAAAAGTCTTATCAACCGCAAGTATTTGGTAGATTATGACTGAGTAATACCGGTATTGTAATAATCGATTTCATAACGTTACGTTGGCAATTACGTACGACATTAAAACTCTGAGCTGGTAAATTACTACATTATAAGAGTACTAATTGTTGCCCCTTCGTAAAAGCAACATGGCTAATGCTCGAATCAACAAAATTTCGCAGTAAATACTAATTTAATGACTCAAGGGCTGTGTCCTCACAAACCTCCTCTTCAATTCTTTCCGTGGAGAAAACTTTAAATACATCCCGATGCGGAAGAATCTGATGCACATCTGACACTGTGATCCGCCTGAAATATGCAACAGCAAATCACAGCTGATGGACACCAAATGATTTACAGCAATAACAAACAAAGATGGGTCACGTTTCGATTAAGGGGCTACTCTGTGCTACAGTGTGCTGAAAATAGCGCGAATGGAAGTAGTTATGACTTTTGGAATGAGTTTCTTTAAAATAATGATGTGCTGAGTCTGTGACTGATTGTTCGTGTGAAGCTGATTAATCACCACGCACAAATAATTAATCCTCTACACCCTAACATCAGTATGCATATTCTCCATACTGTTCTCTATACATTTCCTAAAGTGCTGACAAGGAGAATTTGGTTAACAATCAAGAACTTCTTTGACTAGTAATCATTGCTTTCTATCTTGATTCTTGATTGAGGTGATATTGAAAAGAGAAATTAGAAGTTGGTCACTAGATATTAAGAGATCAAAAGGTTTAGAAATACTAACTTATACAATCTTTGCCCCTATTTAGAGTGAAGAGGGAGATCATGGGTTGCGAGTATTTAAATAGAACACCTTGCACTGGGGTTTGCTGGTTCACTGTATTTAATTGGTGAAATTATGAAAGTTTACGCTGACTGAAAAGTGCTTGCAGCACTTTTAATTAATAACTACATGTATCCCTCCTCCTTGTTCAATGGGCGACATTTGTCTTTATTATGTCTGATTGGCATTAATCCTCCACAAGTTTAGGTGCATAATGTTATACAAGTTTTGATGGACAGAACAGCTTGTTTTGCAGAAACCACAATTTACTCATTGGATACTACTGTTCAGCCAATTAATCCTTTCACTCCCACAAGTGACCAAGACAGAATTTCTCCTTACAATAACAATACAATATCAAGCAGGCAGGTGATGAGAATAGAGAAGAATATCAATCATGGGATTATTAGTTGATCCAATACCAAATTCTCTGAACTAACATCATAAGAATTGTATGGCAGATAGTTAGGAGAATTACTAATTAGATCTTGGGAGTGAAAGGGTTAATGAGCAAACCTTTTGTCTAACTTGGTCTGCAATCTTTAGGAACTAACCCTAGTTGGGCGTGGTTGATCCACTTACCCTCTCCTGTGTTCCAAGTCACACAGATGGAATAGAATATCAATAACTAAAGGAGTGATCTGCAAGGGGAAAAGAGGAAATATCTCTAGGGTAATCATCCAAAATGGTAAAATTCATTCAGAATAGTGGCTTGAAACTGATGCTCCCTCAGTTGAGGTACAGTACTGCTCAAAAGTAAGATGACAATCTTGACATGAGTGTCAGGGATGGAGGCTCAAGGGTCAAGACGTTTGAAGGTCTTCTTTACAGAGAGAATTAAACAAATTATTGGCACACAGTTCTGTGTATTTATTGTTACCAATTTTTTTGTTATTTTTTCAAGAAAAAATGCATAATGAAGAATCAAATTTGCTTTGCAAGGTCTTGAAATGAGATTGATGAAACATATTGTTTACTTCTAATATGAACTATTCAAAGGCTCTTCCTAATCTGAGCAAGGAAAAATTTTCAGTATGGTTTTTTTTCTGAAAATATAAATAATTGTTAACCATGTTGGTTACTTCTCCAGTAAAGAAATTTCTCTTGCATTGTACAAAACAAATAGAAGCACAGGAACTTCAAAGATTAAGTTGTACATACCTCAGCATCAGCTTTGGCCTCCTGTAGCATGTCAGCTGGAAAAAATTAAAAAAAAAAGCATTTTGACAAGCAGTCCAAGCACTCTCTATAACCTGCTGTCTCTCTTCATCTGATTTTATAAATAAGACATTTTCAACTGAAATAATTTTTTTGAAAAAATTGGTGCAAGATACAGTGTATGTCCTCTCACAGCAAACTCTCCAGACCACAGACTAAAATTTCATATTTATACATATCAGCAGCCTAGTACAATAATTTTACATTTGTGTTAACCAGTTTACCTTTCTTAAGTTCCCTGTAGCGATTCCCTTTTGCAGCCTTTATTGCCATATCATGGAGAACTTGTGCATGATCAAGCATTACATTGAATGCTCTGTAATAACCATAGCTTACTCGATGGCCACCTTCTCCACTAGCAGCCTGCAATAAGAGGAACATTACATGTACAGTTCTGCGAGCAACGTACACTGATCAGATGCATTTTTATTACAGGGTGCATTGTTAAGGAAACCATCCCACAAGAATGGACAAATCCATCTAATTAAAAAAGAATTTGGATATTTTGCTGCACAAGAAGGGAAAAATAGTACAGTTAACAGTGTATTCCCTTCTTAAAATTATAGGGTTTTCTGTTCCAGGATGGTTGTATTTCTGTGAAGTCTTTTTAATTGCTTGTATTCATTTCAGCCTATTTCAATATGTGGGGAGACTGGAATTAAAAGTTCAGTGAAGGAATTGTGTGTTGAATTTGTAGGGCTGTGATCCACAATCAAACATGTCCAGATTGAGGATTAACAGACACTGACATCTCTGAAAATTTACCTTATTTGAGAAACAAAGAAAGAAACTGAACCAGTTCTTACCGTGAGAAGGTATTCTCTGACAAATGGAGACAGCTTGTGTCCTCGTAAAACTTTCATTATCTCTGAAAATTTTACAGCAGTTATTTCACCGTCTGGCATTTTACTTTGAAAATATGCCTGTCTTTGGTACTCCTTCTCTAAATCCTGCAAAACAAAAGAGAAATTAACATAATTTTTAAATTAATGCAGGGTGTTGCAAGGAGAATATTCATATGTGTACCACAGGGCTGTTTGAAAAACATAATTTACTAACCTGTAGCAGATGTGAGAAGTCATCAAAACGAATACGGGCCTTTTTGTTAACCCCAAAATATGTCTTGACAAACTCAGTGTCGAAGTTGAACTTTATTTTGCTGAAAAAAGTTGTCTTCTTGATAACATTTTCAAACTCATCTGAAAAATATGAATGAAAACGTGAGTACCATAAAAACCTGCAGATAAGCCGCACCCCCAGATAAACTGCACCCTGAATTTAGCAGCTCAAATTTTGGAAAAAAAATTTTTTGAAAGAAATCAAAAGAAATCCAAAGTCAAGTCTTGAGAAATCTTCTTCATCCATTGTTCATCGAACATAAACTCACCATTAACATTGCAACGGAAAATACTTCAAAGTATTACCCACAATTAGCACTTTAATAAAATGAACATTGTTTCTACCAACTTTGACATATGTTTGATCTTTTTCTGGTATCTGTTGACAGGAATTTATTCATTCAACACAGTTTTTCCATAGATTTTTGCATTACAACAAGAACATGGGTGGAACATTCAAAGCTCAGTAACCAGGCATTAGATCAGACATGAAAATGGAAAATGTTCCCACAGATAAGCCGCACCCCCAATTTCTAGCGACAGTTTTTTGAACAAAGGTGCGGCTTATCTGCAGGTTTTTATGGTAACAATGGTAAATATAATCCATGGAATAAGCACCAGGTAACAAGTTGTTTCAAGGGACAAATTGCTTTATTTGTACTATTTCCAAAACTGCATGTACATTTTAATGCATGACTCCTTGTATTGCTGCAATAATTGCACTATTTGAAACCCCTTTGAATTAATGCAAATCATGGAGGCGATGCTGTTCACAATCTACATACACATGTATCTCCTAGTTACAAGAAGGAAATACATGTAAATTGTCTAATGTCCCACCACTTACATGACAATCAACAGTCTTACCATTGGAGATTCCATTACAATAATTTCTGGTGATGCTTTTTGGAATAATATGTATCAGTCCTGCCCTTTTATTCATAAGGACTAGGTTATTATTTGCAGGTTATTTGCAGGTTTTCATTTGCAGGACCAGGGCCCAGTTGTTCGAAGGCCCATTAGCACTAACCCAAGGTTAAATTTTAATTTGGGTTTCTTTATTTCTTTATTCAAAAGCCTTTTGGGATAATGTCCTGTGTTATTTTTTGAGCAACAAAGAATCATATTATGGACAAAAATAATTTGACTGAATTTTCTTTTAAAGCTATCAAATCTGAAATCAGATTCCACACTAACCCTGGGTCATACAAACTTAGCTTTGAATAACCCAGCCCAGGTTATTATTTGCTCAACTACAGACTTAGACTGCAACTATATTCATTATGATACTTGATTTATAGAGTTCACCAACTCAAAATCAAAGACAAAAAAATTATTTTCCAAATCAATTTTACATGCATGCATTTGAACTTCTACACACATACATTTTCCTCAAACCAGTTTAATTATTGTATACTTTGTTCCATATTAAGTCCATGATTGAAAAAAAAAAAACAAAAACAAAAAAAAGAAAAGAAAAGAAAACTCAAACTAGTTGGAAAAATCATTACTAAGGAAACATTATATCCACAATATATATGTGTATAGTGAATTCTTACAGCTAATACATAATTATTATACTGAAAATTTATGTCACTATCTGGGCAACATACCAAATGTCACTGATCCTTTCCCATCCAGATCAAAAAGTTGAAAAACAATCTTGTGTTGAGCACCTGGGTTACACAGTAAGGCCTCAAATGCCAAGAATTCACTAAATGAGATCAAGCTGCAAGAAAAACAAAGAGTCAGTTGGATTCTGATTTGTTTAAGAAATTTCAGTCATTTCCCTTTTCTTAACCCTCTAACTCCCTGATCAAATTTGTCATTCTCCTTACTGTGAACCATACAATTCTTTTAATGTTAGTTCAGAGAGTTTAGTAATGGATCAACTAATTATCACCAAATTGATATTTTTCTTTATTCTCATCACTTATCTGGTTGATATTGTATCAATATTGTAGGGAGAAATTCTGTTTTGGTCACTCATGGGAGTTAACCCTTTAACTCCCAAGATCTGATTGTTAATTCTGCCTTGTAGCTACTATACATTTCCTTGTAAATTAGTTATGAGAACTTGGTGCTAGATCAAGATAGAAGCTTCTACCTGATAAGTTTGAATATTCTCATTACCTGTTTGCTGAAGAATGTATGGATATTGTAGGGAGAAGTTTTGAGTAAATCACTTTTGGGAGTTAAAGGGTTAAGTCACCAATCCAAGTAAGATTTGGTGCTTTTGTAAATGGAGAAGTTGTTAATATTTTCAACTGAAGTTGAAGAATTAAAATAGTATTTGCCTTGGGCAAAGTGAATGTTTTTATATGATTTGCAAGGAAAAGTTTCAAGAATTATTGACAACATGAATTGAACAGGACCATCTGGTTATTTAAACAAGCAGGAAGCTTGCTATACTATGTTGTTTGAGTTGTTTTGTAATGAGGACAGGTTACAATATGTATTTTTTAGGAACTTTAGAGAAATTGGAAAGTAGCTTCCAGATGAAATGGACATACCCATCTTTAGTTTGGTCAACACATCCTGCAAGAAGATTCAAAGTTGTTTCATTGTACTCCTCAACCTTCTGCATTCCAAGATAGTCTCGGATCAGATTCACTGGTGTCATGAACTTTTCATCATCCTGTTCCACAGTGGCATACTGCAAGTGTTCAATGACAACAATCAAGAGTACTATTTCAAATTCATCATAAATCTAAGCATGCTTTAAGACTTGCAATGTCAGAGCTTTAGTGGCAACTCACACTGAAGTCACTGTGGCATTCACAGAAGAACTGTTGCACAGTTTTGTGTACAAATACAGTGTAGTTAACTATACATAACTCCTTTATTTGACACATTAAAAAAATCCACCATATTAGGTGAAGAAGTAGAAAATGAAAAATATTTTGAATGCTCAGATAAGCTCCATGGAGCTTTTTAGTCTTGCAATGTTATGGCATTAGTAGCAACTCACACTGAAGTCACTGTAGCATTTGCAAAAGACCTGTTCCACAGTTTTGTGTACAAATACAGTGTAGAAACCATACATAACTCCTTTCTTGAACATAATTAGTTAAAAATCCACAGTATTAGGTATGAACAATGCTGTAAATGCTCTGATAAGATCCATGGATGCTTATTAATTTTGGGAATGGGAACAGGGGGCCAGGAGGAAGAAGGGGCAGTGGAGGTGTCACAGCAATTCTCCTGAGGGAAATGTTTGTTAAGAAAGAAAAAAATGTTTGGCATCTACCATACTATGCAGACAGGGTTGCCAGGCCTGAGATGTATAAAAACATCTATATTTCCAAGTCAGAATGCTTTTTATGCAGTGGTTATATTGTAAGTAATAGCATAAATTATACTAGGCCTGGGTTAATTGACAATCTCTTCCTTAGGCCGGAAGGACATTAGTTTACATAAAGTCCTAGAAACTAGATACTTGCTGCAAGGGACATTTTTGGCACATAAACGTAACTTAGAAGCTGCTTGCTCTTAATTAACCAGGTACCACCAGTTTTATGACTTTTTTGTACTTTTGACCATGGCATATCTTGAAATAACGATGCAAAGGACAAAAGAATAGAAAGCTAAGTGATTGGGGAGAGGAGGAGGATCGTGGTTCATCCTCTTCCTTGTTCAGCTGTTAGCCCTTCCCAAAGAAAAAAAAACTTGGACAGATTTGACGATATCAACATTGTGAGAAGGAAATTTTGGATGCTTTCCACACTCAAATATTTGGACAAGACTATCTTTCATCTTAGGATCTCTAATCGAGATGAAGCTTAAAACAAAGCTGTAATAGAAATTGAATTATATAAACAGACAGGTCTCTAAATGCCTTTCACTTTATCAAATATTATAAACCTCTGCGTTAAAATCGAAAGTGTCGAATACATTTCATACTGAACACAGATTTGCAATACAATAAAAACATCACTCAGTCGGGGGGAATACAAATTTGGTATTTAGGCCGATTTTGGACATTCAATAACCTTTTAAGCAATCCACAAGTATCGATTAAAGCCTTTTATGGCATATCTAAACTACCTGACCAGCAGCAAAGAATGTACAAGTTATTGTATATGATAGAGATCGAAATAAACGGGGTTTCTCACCGAAAGTTAGTAAATTTACAAACCTTATTAAAGATCGCTCGCAGTTCCGTTGGATCGGCTGGCCTCAAGGATGTCTAAATTAAATAGCAAAAACAGAATATCAATCAGCGGAAAGGGCGTTTTTGGAGGTTAGTTGAACTAAGTCAAGTTCAAAAGCGGGGAAGCGAGCGCTGCAACATACAATCTGCAGCTTACCTGTACAAGAGGCGTTTCACAACTCGCTTGGGGAAGTAGAAACCACGGCTTTCTTATGGAAGACTGCTCCATTCTGCGGCTCTCCATCTCGAGGACAAAAATCAAGATCTGCTTAGGCCTGTCTAACGCCGGTTGATAAAGTTGCCACCGGCCATTTTCCTTGCGACACAGAGCTCCCAACAGAATCAATTAAATTAGCCTTGATTACCCGGGAGGGCTGTGTTCCAATTTTGGCGCCTCATGTGTTTACGTTCGCCATATTTGGTAAAGATATCCGTATATGTGAGGAAACATGTGAGCCCAGTGTGAGCCTCACATGAGACAAGGGAGGATATCATACCACAAAGGCAAGTTAATATTCCAGAAGTGGAAACCATCCATGCTTGCTGCTTAATTACGCAATATGTAAGAGGATTCAATGAAATAAAATTCAAATTTAGTTCGGAAAATATTACAAAAAAAATGTTATTAAAAGAACTAAAATTAATATCAGTATCTCAAATTGTTCTGTTCTATAAAAAGAATCGATACTCCTTTTTTTTGTCCAGATTGATGTAAGAATATGAGAGGTAACAATTATAGTTATATTCTTGGTATGGGGTTAATTGAAATTTCTAACTTTATGGTGTTCATTACTTTTTTCTGTCTGTGTTCAACTACTTGTTTGTTGAATACATTTGCTGACGCTTTTTTTATCGTCCTATTTTGCATGCTTGTTTATTAATTTATTCATTAATATTTGCAATGATTTGTTTTCAGGAATGAACAATATTATCACATCTGTTGTTTGAATGAAAGAGCACGTCTGGAATGGCTCTGAGTTCAAGCTGCCGAGAACTCTTGATCCAAAGTTGCAAAAACAAAAATTATTGTTGGAGATGCCGTCGCTCAATTTTTTCAGCAGTTTTATTTTGAAAACGTAATATTTTCGCTCAGTAAACCAATATGTCTTTGTCAGCTTCGATATTTCAACCGTATTACCAATGATATCGTCTTTCTTTCAAGGCTGGATGGTGTTTCTTCATGTTTGCCGAATTACGTGGTTCAAGGGGAGATAGATCAAGGATTCATAAATGTCATTTCGACACACATTTTCTCAAGGTAAATATCCTCTGTATGAGTAAATTTCTTGGTTTTCGTTGTTTCCACAAGAATCGAAGTTTAAAGTTTAACAATCAATTTTAGTGTTACACTCATTTAAGTGCGAGACAAATCCTCATTGCCAGACGCGATTAACAACGTGATTAGCAAGGTAACATTGTTAAGATAATTATCTCGTGTTTGATTACCTACTTTTATCATCATCATCATCATCATCATCATTTTCATTTTTTTTTTTTTTTTTTTGTCTGTTTCAATTTTGTTTGTTTGCTTGTTTTCAATTCTGTACTTGTGAGCTTCCCTGATCTCGATCCCAGATCCCGGCGTGGTAATCTCAACCATTGTTACGCTTGTGATCCTCGTTCTCAAATTTCATCAGTGAGACACTTCTGTTAGAGAATGGGATAACCAGTGTGAAGAGCAAACCTAGGCAAGTTTGCTGTCTTTCATAACACAGACCTCCCCCATCAGTCAAGGCCCAAAATTAATTGATCAGACTTTCGTACTGAAGAGGTGTGTCTGAGGTCCAGTGATACATCAATGAACAGTGTCATTGCGAAAAATCAACAGTGGATCACCAAATGTTACCCAAAACTGAGTTTTATTCAGATCAAAAACACATATCCTTTTTTTCATAGAGACGTGTTCACTAGAAAAGCTAATGGTGTCTGCATTAAAGGATATTAAACATTTATCTATAAAATTTTTGAATAATTTTTTTTTATCTTCATTTAAAATATCATCAGTCATTACACAGTAAAATCACTTGGTAGGAGTCATGTAACTAAAATAATTTTCATATTTCTTTAAAACCTTACGAATTCTGATTCAATAAAAAAGAAAGTACCCCAGTGATCTTGAAATTTTACACACCCGTGTTCATACAACCCAAAATTGTATGATAAAATATTGTAAACAACAAGGTAAACTAATGAACAAACTACGTAACTTAAGCTCAAATCCTACACTGCACAACATGGGCTAAGATACAAGGCGTATTTCCCAAGCAACTTTTCCCAGGGCTGCACCAGCAAAAATTGTTCGTCGTTTTATCTATGAGAGGAGAACTTGTTAAAAACAGTTAATCAAGAAACCCTTTCAAGACAAAATTTTCTTCACTCCTACACAATGTCTTCCTAGAAATGAGCACTTGTCTAAGCATCTACAACAGCAAATTTCGTCGTTGATAAACCTTTACTCTCCGACAGGTTTCCCTATTTAAATACTGACAAGTCCGTTTTTTAACAAGGATACTTCTCGCAAAAAGATATCTCACTTCGCCATCATCTCGTCACAGAAACTTCTCAAAGATAACTTCCTGTTAACTTGCTAATATAAATGCGGCTGCAACCAGGAGAAATAAAGTGGCGCACACAAATAAGAAGTCTGACTACGCATGCGTTCCACAACTCCGAGCCCCTGACAGCGAGGCGCCTGTTATGTAAGTTTGAGCATTAAATCTGCACAAAGCTAAAAAAAAAAACAAAAAAAACACTAATTTACCGAATTATCTTGTTTCAAAAAGTGCCAAAGGCTTTTAAAGAGATTCACAATGCTAAAGAGGTTAGGCACGAGAGTTAACGGTTTCACTTGCAGAAACTAAACATCATTTTTCCTCGCAGTTTGCCATACATTTCTTAAGAATTTCGTTTTATATCCAAGTAATACACCGGTCATCTCTCTTTCTTCTCATCTCCTTTGTGCTTTTAAAGGTTATGACATTGAAAGGATAAATTTCTTTTAGATCACCCCTGAGAGTGAAAGGACAGACGACCTACTGAAAACGGACCAAACTTGTTGTCTATTGATTTCATCCGTTTCAAAGCCAAAACGAAATATTTGTATCTTCTGTGAATACTGGTAAAAATGTTTTTTCCAATTTCGATATTAGTTCTCTTGGAGTACTTGAGGGAAAGTGAAGAAAAATCAGAGTTCAGTTTTGCAGTTGCTGGTGCCGTTAACATCATGCGTAAACTCACAACTGTTGGTAAAGTTATCATAGACTTTTTAGTGAAAACGGGTTGTCTGTCTACGTAAGATTTTTCTCCTAATTAGGAAACTATCCCGTGCGACATGGAGGAACCTGTCAACCTATAGTGAAAAAAAAAAAGCGTGACCTGTTCCAGCCACTTTGGCCCCGCGTTTGTACCTTGATGAGTTCAAACCTTCTATATCCACAACAGAGGATCTTAATGGAGTTTACAGTTAGCCGTTAAGCGTAAAAATGGACAAATTTTAACCGTTAATTGTAATAAAAGTTAACAGTAAAATTTTTTCCTTCCTACAATGTGTCATTTTGGGTTAACCGTGGCCGTAAATGGCCAAAATTTTAACCTTAAGCCCTAAAAGCCCCAATGGGACTCGCGATATAGACCCTTTTTTCAAACATAATAGAGTACAAATTAAATACCCAAGTCCATACAAATTTTCTACCCTGATTCTTCCCTTTTAACTACCTTTAACAGAAAAAAACTGATCTTGTTTCATCATTCTTACACAAGCATGATGGAACGTACCCCGCCCTTGACATAAGACCTTTATGAAGAACTAAGTCTCTTAATTAGGATTAAGGTTATTGTTCTACGCTATCACAGTACTCCACCAATTATAACTAAAATAGATAGAAACAGATGGCTAGCTTTGGTAAAACAGTTAAAAAACCTTGGAAGTGGTTCACATATAGATCCTAGTGTAATGGAGAAGTTCAAGGAGATTCTTTCTACTAATGTACAAAGAAACAGTGGAAAAGTGGAGTCACAGTCAGTATCAGGGCAACTACACACCTACCCCTCCCCTAACACAAAATTAACCTCAAGTTATTATGGGTTGACTTTGGTTGGATTAGGGGGAGGGATAGGTGCGCAGTTGCTCAGATATTGACATTGTGAAGGGGAAGATTGATTCAAATGGAGGGAACCCTACCTATTTTTCTACAGGATCTAAGACCGTTCCCTGAATTATTTTTCTCAACATATGTCAGGTGACTTGAGTTTCCTTGAATATTCGACCAGATAAGAGTAGGCCGGCATGGAAACCCCCCCGCCCTCACCCCATAAGAAATTTGCTTTACTTGCTAGAAAAAGAAGAAAATTCAACAACCTCGATCCTAGAGTCTCTCCCTCCCTCGAACCCTATCTGACCCTGGAGGGTTAGAGAGAGGAGAGACTACAAAAGCAGGTTAGAGAATGGAAAGTACTCGATAATATTGCTTCAAACTATGTGAGCCTCAGATATTCTTAACCTTAATCCTAACCCCAGCCCTAACCGCTGAAATGTCGGGGGCTCACATGTTCGAAGCAATGTTACGTAGTGTTTTCCTTGAAGAACTGAGCACTGAAAATAACCGAAACCTATGGCGACGACTTTGCGTCATATGCGGCGTCGTTTCGTAAAATTACCTCATCTTAATTCATACATTGGTAAAAGGTCACTCAAATAGTAAAAAAGCTTGGTGTGTATCTCAAACTGATTGAATTCTAGCATACTAATCGCGCATTGTTTCGTAACCACAAATTGTTTTGGACGCCAAATAATGAAACCTCTACAACTTATTAGAATTTTGACATCCCGGACATTTTTGACATCCTTCATTATTTTCAAATGGCCTCGTACATCACGTCCTTAGGGATAAATACAATTCTATATCACGATTCGTAAAATGCAATTCTGTGGCACAGAATGTTTATAAAGCGGGGTGTTTAATGAATTCCTCCTAGAGGCAAAAAAAAAAAACAAAGCTTAAACTCAAAATGTTTTAGTTGATATGCACCAAATTGATGATTTTAAGGCGTAAAATGGAGGGTGCAAAAAACGAAAAAAACTGAAGAATTTCTTACGATTTGAATACATCTTATCAAGATTGTTTCTGGTAAGAATTTAAGATTTATATTTGACAATATCATAGTTGAAATACCTTACCAAAATACCTCAAAACCATAATTGCATTAAAAAACGGGAGTTATCCAAAATAGACCTATATCATTCCTTTGCATTTTCATTTAAAACAAACTCCACTTCTTTTGATTTCTTTGTGAATTCGTCTGTAATCCATACAAGCTCCACATTTTTAAAACAAAAATCTCATAAAAATTATAACTGAAGTGAATATGTTTAAATTCGTAAATGTCTGTGGTTAAATAAATATATTTTGTTTCAGATCAAATCAAACTTTGAGCGCCTGTATGCTTTTACATTATAACTAACTACAAATATCTCGTAGTTCTAAATTATAATTTAAGTTATTTAACTCTCATACAAAGCTATTGCTAGCATAATCGATACTCCCGTCAATATTCCCAGATTTTGTGAGATCACCACAGGCCATCCACCTCCCTCGTTGATGTAGTTGCTCAGTTCAGGGAGCTGTGGAAGGAAAGAGAGAACCACCGTTGAGCAAATTGAAACTACACCTTTTGTCCCTTTTCGAGTCATTATTTTACCACAATCGACAGTAATGTCGCGATCTAATTGGCCAATTAAGATATGAGTACAACAACGCTTATCGCGTCGAAGTGTCACGCAACGTGTCACGCAGTGAAAGAATTGTTTAATTTGACGTCGATATTGTGCTGCGCCTCGTGGGTCCACAACATTTTGACCACTGTGATGACGAATATCGTTGTCGATGAGAGTACAGACTACGCTAAACCACTTTTGATTTGATAATTCACTGTCAATTTCTTATAACAGGTCTTCTTCATGAGAGAAACCATCAGCATTTAAACATTTAAATCCCACGATCTGAGTGTTAATTCTCTCCTCTAGTTGCCATAAATTTCCTGGTAAATTAGTTACGACAATTTGGTGTTAAATCAAGACAAAAACCTAAACCCGATAAGTTTGAGTTTTCCATTACCTGTTTGCTTGATGATGTAAAGATACTATAGGGAAGAGTTACAAGTCAACCAGAAACGATTGCAGGCTCTCTAGATCAAAACCCACTCCGCTTAAAGCTGCATACCCCCTCCCCCCATTTGTAATACCAAACAAGCTCTGTTTCTTTTCATTCCACATTCAAAATTGTGGAAAATTTTAAGTTTATAACTTAACAATTCCACATCTTAGGAAAAGCGCCCTTTTATAGACTTTGTTACTGCCACCTTTTAAAGCTGAGCTCACGTCTTACAATTCAACTGGAGTTACGACATGAATATTACACTTAATTCTATTATGGGTGTTATGTATCTTACCATGTCAACCAATGATATATAAAGAAACATCCCAGCTGTGAGCGCCAGCACCCAGGTGTGAGCAGAATCTAGATCGCCAATAATGATGCCTAGTATAAGGCCAAGATATGAGATTATGGCTGATGCAAGGTTGTAAGCCAGGGCTTGCCTAAAGGTCAAACCTGACTTAAGCAAAATGGCAAAATCACCTGAAATGAAAGAGAAGTAAGTCAAAATTGATATCACAATGTAACTCGAGACAGCTTCATAATACATCGAATTTCGCTCATTATCTCAGTGATTGAAAAGACAAAATTTTGTTTTCTAAGCCACCTCTGAGCGCTCAGGTTTTGTGGTTCGAGATTTCTTGTTTGAAACAACATCTAAAAACTGGAGAGACGGTAACTAGAATATTAACTAAACTTCCTTATACGGCAGAAAACAGGGGAGAACAGAAAGCCGAGATCCGTGACGAAAATTCTGAGCTGAACAAGTCCTTCCACAGATTACCATACCTCAAACTTAAGTTTTGAGAGAGGGCTGGGAAGATAACCTTGAGTATGGACAATGTCTCTTCTTGTTGGTATCAGGGATGAAACCTTGTAGCCCCCACGACACCAAAAGAACACAACAATACCCAACAACTAACCTAACTCATGCGGAAGCTCGTGGCAAAACACTGCTATAGCTGTGGTGAGACCGCTGGTCAATGAAACTGAAAACGCAGTACCAACTGCCAGACCGTCGCTGAAGTTGTGGAAACCATCCCCGACAATAACCATCCACGCTACAGTGGCAATGGAGGTGTTCTTGTCAATGTTAGGGCTGTGGTGGTGATGATGATGGTGATGATCGTGTCTATTCTCCTCATCGTAACCGCCGTCTCCAGCATCGCTAGTCGTTTCTGTGGCGATGGTATTCGATTCCGTGGGGACCTGGTACGGGTACTGATCACCTTGGTGTGAGCGAATTTGATTGACATTGTGATGGGTTTGGTTTTCGCTGTCAGTACCACTGGCAGAGAAGTTGTTATTGCTGTAAATGTTGGGATGGATGCACGACTTGCCTTGCAATGCAGCTATAAGTTGCGAGTCGCTAAAACTGTGTTTGCTTCGCTCTTGAACACTGTCGCGCGGATGGCAATGGTGACCATGTCGACAAGGCTCCCACAACGGCACTTTTTCTTGGGAGGACTCGGAGCCTGTGCTCGCACGCTCCTCTTTCCCAGACTCCAAAAGAACCAGTTCACAAGATGTTGTTTTACAGCCTTCTGAGATATCTCTGCTGGCCTTAGGAAAGTGTGCGCCGTCGCAGCTAATACTTCGTTGAATTCCAGCGAGCCTTGAACCAACCATTTCCTGATATTTTGCGGCTTCTTTCTTCTTCTACGAACAAACAAGCGAAAAAAGTTAACATCAACAGTTTTCGCAACAAAATATAAATAGATTCAATAATAAGTAGCACAATGCGAAGATTAGAGCCGCTTTATGCTACAAAAACCGGGTTAAATTACCGCAGTAATCAACCATTTTACTCGTAAGGAAAAGGTTTTAGCCAACATCGAAAACTTCTCTTATTTCTGTATCAGCTTACCATTTTTTCTGGAGTTGTCACGTGCAGGTTACCACGTGAGCGTTTCTTTCGCGCCATGCGTGCTTTCAGCGTGCACTCAACCATAAAAAACACGTAGATTCCTGCCATAATAACGCATGACTTGTAAATATTTATCTCATGCCCTCCTTCTTCGTTTCCATGACTAGAGACGAAAGCCTGAAAACAACAACACTGAAATGAATTCTTTCTCTCCAATCCTGTCAATTAATATCATTTAAGACTTTCAAATTTTAACAGTTCTTCTGGACAGTGCTTGTTGGCTATGTCATATCTATCTCTCCCAACTTACATTATTTCTCAATTTGGTTTGTTTGTATCTCCACTCACCCTACCACGTTTTTCTCAGTCTTAAGTAACTTTCTCACTTCAGTCGTCTCATGTGTCACTCATTCACTCGGTTGTGAAGTTGTTAGTAGAGTTAGTGGCTCGTTAAGTTTGTTCGCCACTTGCACGCTTGCTTTTTCGATCCATTTGTACGCCTTTTCGACTGTGCACCTCCTCCCACCACCACCCCCCCCCCCCCCCCGCCAAATTCGCTCTTTCGTTCGCTCGCTCGTTCGTTTCGTCGTTCGCGCGCTCGTTCGTTCGTTCCTTCATTCGTTCGTTTGCTTGCACGTCGGTTCATTCCTGCGTTCGTTCGTTCGTTTGTTCGCTCTTCGTTCGGCGAATCAATCGTCCGGTCGTTTGTTCGCAGAATTGCTCTTCCGCGCTGTCTTCTGTTTTTCGTCGTTGACATTTTTTTTTTTTTTTGACGTTTGGTCTATTCTCTCTTTTGTGGCTGGTTTTATTAGTTTTTTTTTCGCTCGTATGCACATCGCTCACTTGTTCAACCAGTCTTCTCTAAATTGATGTCAACCCGTCATTATTGGGAAATTTTAACATGTCGTTCGCCTTACATGAGGGATCAGATGAAGGAGGGCGTCTCCCGACAAGGTCCCCACAGCAAGGGCCACAAGGAAGGACATGATCCTCTTGTAAATCGAATGACGCATCAAAGGAATGACAGCGATCGCAAGAAGTGACGTCAAACTGATGACAGTGATAGATAGGAAACCATAACCCCACACTGAAACAAAAAAGCTTTTGGTTAATGAAGGCATTAGCGTTCCGAGGCAAATTAGGAGAGGGGAGGGTAAGTGGGGAATTATAACAAAGCACGAGGTGAACAAAATGGATCAAAAATTTTGGATACGATTCTCTGAAATGATTTCTTCTGATTGTGGCTGAGACTAAAAAGAGTAAGATTATGTTTCCTGCTTTAACCTGTGTTACCACTAATCATTCTCAAAAATCCTTGTTCTGTCCTGCTCTTTTATCACCATTGCTGTGTTTTGGTACAACATCTTGCCATTTTATTGGTGTATTAGTGAAGCTTAAGGTGACAAAGCGGGTGGTTTTGCGCGCTTACAAAATCAGTCTAATTATCTTATGGCACACCTCCTTAAGTCTTGGCCCTGCGTAAAGATATCATTGTAGAGCAGACACACAAACCAGTATCAACAACGTAGTTTAAGTGTTCATGCCTGATCAAGTATTAAAATAATAACATTTATTTACTTCTTTTCTTGTTGTTGTTGTTTTTTCTTTTTTTTTTTTTTGGTGTGAGACACTACAAAATGCTTAAAGCTGCAAGTATTGTCAGCTCTTAAAAAAAAAAAAAGTAACTAGCTTTATAATCTTTTATCTTAACCCTGACTAAGACGAATAAAATCCCCTTTAATTCAACAATTCCCTTACAGTTTTTATTTAGTACAGTAAGCACTTCACGAGACCAACGCACCTTTCGTAGCAATTCGTAAATATAACACATATTAACTCCTTCACTCCTCGAAAAAATTTTGTTCCTCATGAAATGTGTTAAGTAAAAATTTTAGCACCATGCTGTTATGCTTAATCTCAAGAAATGTAGCATTATCAATTTTTCGCAGGGAAATGCTTTGGTAAAATGTCTTTTTTGATATCTTTCTCAGTTTTCGCATCAATTTTCTTGTCAAGTAATATTGATTTCACGTTTTCATTTAAGTGGCAATGTAAGGTCTTTTTCAACTCTAATTAACAAATCTTACCATGCAGCATTTTGGCCGAGTCCTCTGCCATGTGATTGTCTTCCAGATTGTCGACAATGCAAGCTTTGTCTTGGAGTTGCTGGATTAATGCGGGACAAATCCGCACAAAGTCCTCTTCGTTCAATCCTTCCTCTTCATTCACATCATGATCGAGCAGAAGCTCCTGTCCTGTCAAACACTGAAATACATATGCAAATGTAAAGCTCTTGGGACATGCCTTTAAATACTCCGTGCATGTTAATTACAGGGATATGAAGGCATGAAATTTTTATACCATTTCTTTCATTAATTCTAAATGCATGTGCCAGCGGCAATTCGAACTGGACATCAGCCACTTCGCACGCAAAATACTGAACTACGATATCTAATTTCTTGAAGTGACAAACAACACTATTTAAAATGAACAACGATTTTTTCCACGTGAGGAATAACAAGCCATGTACTTAGACTCTACTAATGTCCGTGAATGGAGTTAAAGAACACATACGTGGCGAAAAAGGTTTGGCAAAATCTCAAATAATATTTCAATTTATTTTTTTCTTGGAGGACACCGTAACGAATCCTGCAATCTAATTGGTTCTTAGCGCGGTCCGTAGTTTCCTATCTTTGCCGATATGTCGATGGTATCACCAAGTACATCCCTACCTTCCCAGCTATCATACTTTTCATAAACAGGTCTCGTTTTTCAGGCTGGGTAGTTTCTATAAGCAGAGACGTCGGTCACTACCTTATAACTTATTAATCCTCTCTTTTCTCTCTCTCAAATCACCGTGGTTGAAAAAAAAATTGGTTTCGAAATGAATTTGTATTAGCAACTTATACAACATGAAAGTGTCATTAAATTGGTTGACAAGCGGCCTAAAATCCGTCTGTAATTAATTTTAATCCTTCACGAAAAATTCCTAGAAAGTTAAAATGTGATATATTTGGTTACAATGAATTAATCGATGGAAATTTCATTCATTTACTCTCTGAATTCTCTTAAAAAATTTGTTCGTAGTGACAGGGCAAGCAAGGTTTTCAATTCTACCATAAATACGCTTTCAGTGAGTCTTTCCAAGTCCGTTCAATTGGGACATTTGTACCGTAAATTGCACAACAGAAACTGAAGGGATTCAATAACAAAAAGCGGCAATAAATCCCCTTGTGTCTAGTTGAAGTGTCTCATTTGAATTTAGTTTTTGTTGGGGAAAGACCACGTTTACACACGCCACTGCAGCAAACCAACGAGCAAACTCTCTTCAAAATGAAAAATTTGAATTTACTTACAATTTCTTTCTTTGCCATTTCCTTACTGAACAGAGGTAAATCTTCGTGCATTGATTAATCGTCGATGAGAGTAAACGATGCTTTCCGTAAGATCATTGACTGTTTTCGAAGAAAACATTGTCGTGACAGTCCTTGCCAAGCTAGTTCCGTTGATTTTTCAACAGTGTACATGCGCTTTTTTTTTCCTTACGCATCAAATCGACAGGTGTCAGATTGAGAGAGATACTTGTAAATATAATGTTTCAAAGTTTGTTTGGAAGCCTTTTAAATCACCTTCATCATTATACAAATGAAAATGTTTCGGTGAAGCATCTCCCTTAAATCTGCATCACCTCTATTTTAACTACCATTTACTCGCTCAAAAATTTTTCAGTTAATGGAAGATCTTGCCGTAATTACAACCCTAAATCGTTCAAGTTCTCTTGGAAAGAATTTCGTTAAGTTTAAGGAAAAAAGTACAAATGCTATCCACTAGCCTAGGTCGGTCCGTATTGGAAAAAACCTGCCCTCTGTCTTGAGTACAGTTTTCCCCAATACGGACCTCCCGGTTGGCGAAAAACATATATCTACTCTTTAAAAGTAAATTAATTCATTTAAACTGTAAGTCGAGTTGGTGGTTGAAAAAATCTGGAAATCGAAGTAAAACCTACCGACGAATTCACTTTACAAACAGGCTATTTTTAATGCACAGTGGTCTGATGGATAAGGGCTCAAAATATGGGAAAATTTAACAACTAAACGACTTGAATATACATGTATAACGCAAAATCTATGTACCCATTTCCATAAAGCGTATAAGGCACTCGACCAATATTAAGTTATTAAGCTAGGCATACTAAAAACGCATAGACTAAGGCATCGAGGAGGATTTCATTATAAAGCTCTTTTGATTCAGCCGGTGTGTAAGAAGATATGTGCACAAAACTTCCCTAGAAACACATAATCAAAGTTACCTCGCGATTTCACTTCATCAATTTGTTCTCGGCTTGAAAAACGTTTTCAAGACCAGCAACTTTGTGGTAACAATGGCCATCAAATGAACACAAAAAAATACACTGATATATAACGTTGTCATAAAAATTCACAAAACTTGTCAGCTGTATAAAATATTGCAATACATAATTGATTATTCCACGTCAGAAACTGCTCCACGAGTTTGTTTTCCTTTTTGTCTAATGAGCTATTTGTATTAATGGAGGAGCCTTTAATTGAAGCAGCAGTAGTTAACAACAATTTTTTTAAAATTAATTTCATATTTGTTTTGGTAGTTTTTTTTTTTTTTTCGGTTTCCTAAGTTTCATTCCAAGTGTTCCGAAATGTTCCGTTCCGCTGGACCCATTGTAAATGTATCGCGGACGCAAGCCGTAAAAAACGCATACGGTGTAGGCTGGTTATTTACGCAAAGTTCGGAAGTCGTTTAACAAAACCGCGTTCTAAGCCATCTTTGACTGAGCGGAACCTTTCATCTGAACGTTTATTTTTATGAAAAGTGTCAGGAGAGCCGAAAGCTAATGGTGGAAGGTCATTTATTAAATGAAACCAACCCCACTAAAGAACATCTCTGAGGTTCACTGCTTACGTAGAGCCGCGGTTTGGGTTAGACCACGTGTAAGAAAACCGGGTTTGAGTTTTTGATACTCTTTAATGATTTCAATTACTTATCTTTCTCGACATTATTTGACTTTACCCTCGCTTTCCCCATAACTATGGAAGAATTAGCATGAGTTTAATTTTGGTGCACGATGACATCTACTTCCATTTTCCTGGTGGAATCTTAAATCACCTTCCAACAAACCCACGACAGTAGTTACCATCAAAAGGAAGACGAATAGCGCAAAAGAGAGGAGCGCCTAACTAACTCACCTAGATTCTCCCCAGTCTTCGACAGGTCTAAACCTGTTTAGTATAAATGTAAGATTTTTCGTTTGTCAAATCAATTATTTACATCAGTGTTGCAACATTGCGTGCTGGCCAATAGTCCACACATGTAACGGTCAAATGAACTTTCCAAGTTCGTTTCGAAGTCAATTTCGTTGCTTACAGATCCTTGGCTTTTATCTCAGAAGCTGTAAAATTTCAAGACCAAATCAGTTTTTAATCTATCCCAAAGGAACAACCATAGCAGTTATGTGCCTCACAGTTGTCAAGGTCTATCTGAGTAAAGTGACACTGACTGAAAATATTGTGCAAAGAGCGTTCGCAGGAAAAAAAAATAAAAAGATTTAAGCATCAAGAGCCCGCTGAAAGAGTCTCAACATCACAATCGCGATAGAATAAAGGCCACACGCAAACACTCACCCACTAGAATTACTTAAGTTTGCCTAAACGTGACATTCGCTTTGGCTGATCAAATAATTTTTCTTGAGTCGACTCCAAATCTTACCCACACTGCAGTCAAGGTCGTATTTAATTAAGTTTATTAATATAATTCCAGAACACGAACTCTGGTCGATAAAAAAGTCTAGCTCAGCGCATTAAAAGCTTAAGGAAAATATCCTTATTTAAAGATTAAACATCTAGCAGACATTCTTAACTCAAAAGAGATTTACCAACCCAGGTACAGATCACGAAACATTGAAAAGTGGCACAAACGCGAAATCTCCCGGACGGCCAAAGACAGACAGACATAAAAAAAAAAATAAAGACAGACAGACATACAAAATAAAGACGAACCCTTCCATGGAACACACAAACGAAAACCATTTAACAGAAAGAGATTTACACTACCTGTAAAAATAAAAAAGAATATTCTTCTCGAAAGACTGGTACTCAGGCTAGAGGCTGCAAAAATACAGCAAGGAAGCTAAAGATCATTTTGGCTAGGCATAGCATTACATAATTTATTATCTCTTCTTATCGCATTTTTTCTAGAAGTGCTGACAGACCCAGACATCAACACGTTAGGGCTAATCTCTCTGTAGATCTTTTATTCAATTACAGCTTAAGTTCTCGTTACAGTTTCGAGTCACGCCTTTTGGGGAATATCTCAACCAAAAGGTAACTTTTTATTTGGAGGAATTTTCTGTGGAAACCCTGCCTTGCCAATATGAAGAAGGATTCCAGTCGTTTGTCTAGACAAACCATAAAAGTCCTCAACGTCGCAGTAATGTGCAAATCTCGTGAACGAAAGGGTGGCATAGCAGGAGAAGGCCTACCGGGTCTTGTGAGGCGCTGACCGTATTTCAACCCCCTAGTGAGTCGCTACTCACTTATCTATTCAATGACTCATATCATCGGTGGCATTGCTACAATTTATCTCACAAGGAATATTTCTAACCACGACAGCTCACAAGCCGAGCACACGGCAAATGATATACTTAACCCTTACATTAATTAACGCCTGATATTAGTTCGTTTGCACAAGTAGGTTTTTCGCGCGATCACATTTCTGAGGGGACTTCTAAGTTAATGGAAGCAACTACTTCTCGAATGCTATTCTATGTTCGATCTACCCGGTGGGGTGTTAGTCTGGTACAGTCAACAAACGCAGTCCACCTGTTTGTGATGCTTGTTTAGTTGTGCAATCAAAAGTTAGCCGAAAATTGCCAACAATGTCGTATATGAAAAACAATACTCTGCCTCACACATAATTTGAATAAAGAAAAACAAGATCAAATTACTGACGTACAGAATTAGAGCTTGTCTTCAATATTCTACAGTTTTAGTAGTGTTGATTGCCGTATGCTGTTTGTTTGCGATTATATAAAGAAACAATACAGAACTGATTTTTGTTAATTGTATGATTAAAGTCATTTTCGTTCGCGGAGAGCAGAAAGTCATTTGAAGAAGCGGAGAAAAAATGTTTTGCTAGTTTGATATTTCAGTTAGGAACTTCTCGGAAACACTTGGCACTTGTGTATTATTATACCCTTCTTAAGGAGACAGAGAGTGTTCCTTTATCTTAAGCACCCATTATTTGATGGTTCGTGCTACCACAAGCGGAGATTTCATCCTTCGATAATAGTACCTTGTGAAATCACGTTCAACATTTCACGATATTTAAAGCCGGTCTCCCCCGACGCAAGGTAAAATCACCTATAGCCTCCAATTGCTTTAAACTTTTGAAAGAGTTTGATGACCTCAGGCCGTGTTCAAATTATTAAACTAAGATTTGCGCTTCAAGAATCATGCATCTTTCCGCCAATCATAAATCTGTTACTTAGCTTAGGGAACACAATAATTTTATGTTGTATTACTGTATTTGTTAGCGTGGAAATATGTTAAGTGTGTTTATTTGAGCGCGAACATAAGTAAAGCCAGTTGACCCAACGTGAAACTAGTCTTTAAAAGAATTATTCTGGTTGGAAATTACAACTACATTCAAATCGTCTCCTTTTAAAATGCAAATCACCAAATGTAGGAGAAAAGGAGGATTAGTTCAGATCTAAAAGAGTCTAGGTTTCTAAGTTGTCTGAGTTCATTACTATGAAATTCTACTCCGAGCTTTTCGTCAAACTTCACCTTTAAGCGGTTTATCCTAAAGAAACTTAAGTTTTTTAATTAAAAATAGGGGGTTCCCAAACTCGTTCAAGAGCAGTATCTTATACATATTTTCAGTTTTCCTTTATATTTCCAAGTATAATTCATAGTGCGTACTGAGAGTTGTTCAGTAGAAGTTGTCGCAGAAATGTGTCAGTGTATGAAGAAGGCAGGTGTTGGGGAACTTAAGAGGACCATACGTGTACGACACCTTCAGAGGGCAGAGGAAAGAAGGCACAGCCTAGCCGGTAACGAAAGCGAACGAGCCGGCAGCGAAAGTGATTTCCAATCACATCTCCTGCGTTCCCTCGTGACCTCTATTCACCTCTCTCTCCATAAGTCTAAGTCCCGGAGAAAGAAAAAGTTTACATAGCCACACAGTCCAGCCCAGTCAAGAAAACAAAAATAAAAAGGCCTTTCACCACCTTTAGCACGCAAAATTATTACAATAAATTATCAATTTTTATGCGTATTTTTGTTGAATTTGGTGTGAAATTTGAGTTCAAATGCACGTCTTAATAAAACAAATCGACCAGTGATGTTATCCCCGAACATTGAGCTTTTTATTTACAAGATTACAGGCCATGCACTGTAAAGAATCTTCGCGCGTATTTCACCTGATTTCCTTTTGATAAACAATTAGCCCATATGTAAAAAATATGCTATTGTTACTCTAACACAACAAGAGAATAGGACGGGTAGTTTTTGAGTCCTCTAAACGCTTATGTCCAGACGATTAAATCCATAAATATGCAGTCTTGGTATTGTTGCATAATATTGTTTGTATGTCTACGCATAAAACATTAAAGTTCTCTTAAACTAAAAACATTGTTGCCAAGAGATTCCTCAGCTACTAAGACTCTAACTCCAAGCAGAAATAGATAGAAAAAACCCTTTTAATTAAAACGTAATATCTCACCTCCGCGTGACCTTCACTGGTATGGAGACGGTCTCTCGCACTACGCCGTTCTCTTCGTTGAGACCTCGGGCGAATTTGGTTCGTCTTAGAATTTAACTGCAATTGTCTTCGTTCTCCATTGGATTGTCGCTCGCTTCGCCGCCTTCGCATGTTTCTTTGCCTCGAAACTTCACTGGATTCTCCATCTTGACTTCGAGAATTCTTGCCGCCATGTCGATGAGATGTTCCTTGATCATGCGATGTTTCTGTCGCCGATACGGTCTCACCAAGGTTTAAATCCTTCAACAAATCTTTAAAACGCTCAATGGAGATTTTCTCAGTCAAGTTGTCCGAGTATTTGTGGAATATCAGGTCTAAAAAATGCCAGCTCGCGCTGTTCAAAATAATCGTCCGGTTCAGGACAGCGTGCATGTCCGAAGAGGACGATATAAAGGTATCGTTTTTGTTGATAATTTGTCCAGCGTTTGTTGCCGTGCCCAGCATCGATAATGCCATAATAAAATAAAACAGTCTCCTAGTATGAAGGTTGCAAATGGCCATAACAACAAAGTCAGAAACGTATTTTAAGATGAGTACTTGTTTTGATTCTACAAGAATCGAATCGGAAATCGATAAACGTCCAAGGTACTTCGCACACTTCGGTGTTTACGGTTCAATGGCCACCGACAATCCAGCTGTTTATGCTAAGTTATCGTCAAACTCGCTTTACACAAACGATTCCCAAAGCGTTCTGAGACTTAAAAGTCTTTCGTAACACATATCTTTTTCCGTTATTACGATCTTCCTCCCTGATGTCGTCGATTTCCTCGGTAGTGACGTGAATTCCGTTAAGGGCCGGCCACAATGATAACACTGTGAAGCATCGTGTTGGGCCGTACCTCGAAGTGTGCCTTCTCAAGTTACGCAACGTGGTCAAGTTCACTGTTGTTATCCGTGACCTTGAAAAATCTTCTCTCAGCCCTCGCGTCCTGCTTCACCTTAATTGACACCTTTTATCCCGACAAAATTCCAAATTAAAGTTTGCTCAGCTTGTTTGAAGCACTTTTACCTTCATTCTGAAAGTAAAGATATTACACAACTTTAACTCGGGTTTAAACGCATCCAACAGGCCTAATCGTTAGAGAAATAAATAGAAACCTCTCCTTACGATTCGAATAATATATTACTTGTATTTTCTTTGATGGCAGCCAAAGTCGGAAAATTCAAGGGAAAATAATACTCATAACTAAGAAACCGGCAAAGAAATCACATGTGTATGGACGCTAATGAAAAAGAAATATCGAAAACAACCTGTTGCCACAATTTCTTTTGCTGTTCATCCGCACGAAAGAAAGGCAAAGCGACGCGAAGTTCGATCAAAATCTTGAGTAACGTTTTGGTCACGTAGCTAAGAGAACGCTCTCGAGGTTATGAATTACTTTAACGGCGGAAATAAGTTCACCCAAACAAACAATTTCTTATGTAAATTTTTAAAATCTCTATCGAAATCATCCTGAACTAATCTGTTGGATAAACATTTATGGTACCTGCTACAACTAGACGCCACTTAAAGCTTATTTGAATAAAATTCATTGTAATATATATTTCATTTTTTCAGAATCATGCCATTCATGTAAAGGATACTTATAGTAAATAGAAAATTGGAGAAATTTCTCAACGGCCATTCGCTTCGTGTCGGGCCGGTGATAAGTTTCGGCGCATAACAATTAAATTAGCTGACGACAAAGCCTAAAGAAATAAAATGTACGTTACTGCTGGCCATGATCACCCGACACCCCACGTAAATAATCACAAAAATTGCTCTATAAGCAATAAAAAAGCGATAAGGCTGGCGTGCGCTTAGTATTACTAGTCAACAAAGAAGTAATGAGTCACTTGAGGTTATCTCAGAGGGCATTTTTTCTTACACGATTAGGGAATAATTGGGTAAGCCAAAGAATTATTTGCAAAATGATATTTATAGAACACGCTGTTAAACGGGAAATGAAAACAAAGAAACTGTCACCGTCTTCCTTTCTGCTGTTTCTACAATAAATTTACACTCAATAGAAATGACTTTGTTTTATCTCATTGATGGATTGATGTAAAGAGTAGAAGAAAGGTGAGCGAAAAAAGAATCACTTTCGCCATTTGATCTGACTGCAGTATTTTCGTCAGAGTACCGTCGCGGCGAAAGTTAGGGTAAAAAATTATGTTGAACTTTCCCCATTTAAGAAAAAAACCTTTCCTCTCATTTTTCTATCGGTCGAATAACCTCGTTTTCTTAAAGAATGATAGGCCAGCTATTTCTTCTTGAGGTTTGTTAGTGTAAAGTTTGGCATGGCCGGTGAGAGACGCGCTGGAAGGTAAAAAACGCGGTGCTCCGCTTGGCTATGATAGACGCTGTGTATTCGAAATGTACATTTTGCTGCAATGGACATTTCAAATGCTCAAATTAACACTTAGATGGAGTGGACACTACCCTTAAAGAAACCCTGTGTTGAATTGACACTTGGCTGAAATAGACAGTCTGCAAAAATGGACACTTCTTCCAGTTCGACTGGTAAACACACTGGCGAGGGACATTTTGCTAACGTGACTCTTAACTGAAACCAAGAATTTAATGAAACATACACTTTGTAAACATGGACACTTTTCTAGATGATCACTGGACGGACACTTTGCTAAAAAAGAAGTCGAACCCTTGGTTTTTACATCTGCATTCATATTTATACCACCAAGAGATTATTATCTATTGTGCCACGGATGTCTCTTCGGTTGACGTGGACTTGCCGATTCCCGAAGTTTCCCTTTTCGAGAGAACAGAATCGAGAGGTGAGTCAGTGAAATACTATTGCTTGGCTGACGCGCAGAAATTTATTTTCACACGACATTTCGACCGGCTATGCCAGATTTTTTTCAGGTCTAGATGTTGGTCATCTATCAAATAAGTAAATGAAATTAGAATTTCTTGTCACGGCGGATATCACAACACATATTTCGAAACTGTTAAGAGCGGCGGAAATGACGAATACACGTCAATACCAAGATATAAAAAGGATAAATAACTGATACGTTCTGATTTAAGTCAATTTGGTAAAAGTTAAATCAGCGAGGGAAAGTTTCAATTTATCACGTCTACCTAATCACGGGGTTCAAAGGTCCCCGCTAAATAGATTAAAAATTACTTTCTGGTTTTCCTGATGTAATGTAAAGGCAGATTAACCCCTTCTCTCCCAGAAGTTCATTGTTCTCCTCACTACCTGCCAAAAAATTATTTTGTCGGTTTGTATGGAGGATCTCGTATTGGATCAACTAAAAATTCCCTAATTCATGATAATTTTCTTAATTCTCATCACTTGTCTTCTTGATATTGTATTGATATTGTAAGGAGAAATTCAGTCTTCATCACTCGTAGGAGTAAGAGGAAATGGAATAAAATGAACGTTTGGAGTGGCAGTAGTTTTGTCGACTGAGTTTCTATTTTTGTTGAACCTGTTTTTGAAAAAAAATGTGTAGTTTCTTCTGTTCACCCCAAATGGCAGAAGTTACTAGAGTATAATTTGCTTCTAGGTCCTAACGAAGGCACATTAAGTTTAAAGTTAATAGTAAAAATCTTTAACCAAGCGATTGTAGAAGCTTCTCCAAAATGGCAACTTCCTTGAAAAGAACTACTTGAAAAAGTATTCCGGATTGGAATAAAGTACGTGTAGTGTAGACTGAAAGTTTCACGTCAATTCAGCGTCCACAGATGGTATTGGAATAGGTAGAGGCGTTCTTTTGCTTCAACCATCAAAGTTTATGAAATTCAAGGTCGTCAATATACGGGGTGTATGTTATATTGCTTGGATGAATTTGTCTAGTGGGTTAACATATTTCAACAGTAGTTTTCATTCTAAGCAGCCACCTTGTAGAGAAAGTCTGTTGGATGGAATAGAGAGTTTGTGACGTTAGTGGTCACTACTCCACCTCACAAGGAGTACTCAAAAAGACCGTTTGCAAAGAGTTCCGTTTACGTGACTTTTGGGCGAAGGCGAAAACCACGAACACCAACAATACCACTTAAATGCTGACGTGGTCTGGTGTGCGAGGTTAGCGGATGTTCTTTCAGGCACAGGTCAAGTTTACGATTCAAACTGGAGCTTAACTACCAACTACACGCCCATAATGATCATATGATAATCATTATTCTCGTGTAAATTTAAGGTCTCTCTCTGTTGAGATTTATTGAAACTTTGATCATGTATGGGTCTACTGTGGGAATTAATTGATCGTTGTAATGAATTGCTCAATTTTTGCATCTTTTAATGTAACATCATTTCTATTATTACTATGATCATTATTATTATTATTTTAGTATCACTTATTAGCTGGTCTCGGCTCTGTTATCAGAGAAGAGGGGACTGACATTCAGACTGAAACAGGACTTTTACTCATTTTAAGTTCTATGGGAAATGTGCCCTCTTAGCCTCACTTTTGAGTGATAATCATATTGTTTTTACCTTCATCGACGGGATTAGAGAGGGTAGATCCCAGCCGATAAGCAGAGTAGCACAGCCTTTCATAAAAGAGGTTTGCATGTCGGTAAATGTTGTGAGCTGGGAAAAAAAATACCAGAACTATTTTCTTTACGTATCCGCGCTCGGTCTTGTGGCTTTTCCTTGAAAGTGTAACAATGAAAATCAATAGTTCAGTGAAATTACGTATAGTGCTGTGTTAAGTTTTGCAGAGAAGAGCACGACGTCTTTGACGGAGATTCGACATTTCTTTTCTCCCTTCTGTAAACATTTTGTAGCAATTTTTGTTTCTTTCTAACGGCTATCTCAGCGCGGATGGATTGTCCAGGTATGCTTGTAATTAGCTTTTTCTTTGGTAAACAGAGGTATCTTGGGAGCAAATAATCTCGCAGCCACCCCTCTCATACACCACAAATACTTCAACGATCTTGAAGTTAGAGTATGTTTCGATGACAAGCTGACAAAATTATTTCCATAAGTGAGCAAATAAGTTACACAATTCGTAGCTGTAACCTTGTTAATACATAAGTTGACATTGGGAATGTTCTGCACTCTGATTGATACGTTCGATTTTGACAGCTTTTTTAAAATTTTATCTCCTCATTAGTGTGCCCCTTGAGGGTATTTAAAAACCTTCACGTCAGAGGCATGTTCGCGTTGCTAAGGGATCTTACCTTTCGGTGATTCGGAAAAATTATTGAAGTTGTCAATGTTATTTCAATCTGAATACATAGCAACAGGTTTTAATTTTTTCAACAGGTGGTGGGCGTCGTCTGAATGATGCTTTTGGATGTATATGTATAATAATCAATGGAAAATTGCAAATTGTACATTGTATACTAAATGAAAGAACACATGTAAAAATATCTAAACATAAAAAAAAATAAATAAAAAAAAAAAAGAAAAAAGAATCACCCTTTTACAAATCAGTAAAGTTTAGCTCCAATAACTTGTCTGTTAATGAAGTACCCCAAAAAATAACAACTTTTCGTTTCTAGTGGACTAATTTTTTGACGAGGGAAAAATTTACATTATTTATCGCGGCTGAGAAAAGACAGAAATTTTTTCATTTAATCAGTAAAAAAATGAAAATTGTGCAAACCGCTATAAAATAGCAGCAAAGAGATATTGCAAAACGTTAGCAACAAAATTGCCTGATAGTTTTAGTTCTATCTTCTCAATTGGTGTAACTTGCATATGTTTACTTGCGTAGAATGATGCTTGCACTAAAATGGATAATCTTCTGCAAAAGTGTCACACGACTGACCTTGGAACGGTCTAAATGCAATTGCGATAATCATCCCCTTCAAATACTTAGACACAAAACTAATAGCTACGGCATAAATCCTGACGAGTTTCGATAACAACCAGTGTCAGGGAAGTTCTAAGCAGGTTGAAAACCAAACATATTAACACGCCAATGCAAAACACAATCCCAGCTCGAAAGTTTCCCCTCAAAAGAAACTCTGCGGGCGGAAATAACGGCTTAAGGCTTTCAGATTCGAAGTTAGCAGCATCTTTAGATGTATAGAATCTATACAAACAAATAGGGCGTTATCTAGATCTTTAACATTCAATTTTGACCAGCGAAATACGAGCCTTTAAACAGTTCCATACCTTGAATAACTCGTCAGATTATTGATAACTAAATGTGCTTTAGAGTTCTATAACAATGGGTGTCATATAAACTTACCTTTCGGATGAAACGTTCCTAATATATCCTGATTGAAGGCTGACCGACTTAGCCACGAGAACGTTTCGAAATGGCTTAAAAGGGGAAGTGTTTGCAAATGTAAGTTCCTGTTATTGATTTTGGTGCCAACGCAACACCAATATACAGGCAAAACCACACAATGGCTTTGTTTTAATTTGCTAAATTGTCTTGACTAGCAGTTGAGTTGCAGCCAATTGTAATACGAGTGACTGGTTCATTGCCAAGAAATTTAAAATAACAATATACATTTCAGTTGCATAACCCCAAATTTCATATTTGCAAATGTGACATCGATTGAAACGGAAATCGAATAAAAAGTGTTGTGATAATTGATTGGCGACTTAAACGGCTAACATCCCCCAAAAAAGGTTTTGTGTACCTAGATGTGATCAGAACTATTAGGCTCCATAGACAAACACTTGTATTGTACACATTATAAGTTATATTGGTTGTTTTCGATTCTGAATTTGAAATTCCGAAGTTAAAGTAAATTTTCGTACATGCCTTCTGCTTCCGCTGGGAGTACCAGCAGCAATGTAAAAACGTCTGCGCTTGTCACAAGCTTCCCGAAACACCTGGGAGTCGTAGGAACACTGTACGTCAACTTTTCGAAATTTGAAAGCGGCGATATTTTCTGAGTTGTTTAACAACATATACAAACTATATATCCCACTGTCTTTAAAGACGAAACCTTTGGAGCGAGATCCGATACAAACTCATACTTTGAGGACTTTGAAGGAAATACCTTTGATATTCATCACAAAAGCTCGAGATTTCGAGATCAGCAAAAAAATTGATTTGCGAGACACACGAGCTTTCAGGTACAATTTACCAATCCTCTTCTCACATTTTGGTTTTATTAACTGACTGAATACCTAAACCGCGAGGATCGAAGTAAGATTACACGGAACTAAAAGATGTTGTTCTGTAAAAAATTTTGTAGACGTACATTACTTGCATAACATGGTGTCGTAAGTTGTTTGAAGTCTAGAATTTTATCTAAACGTTCACGAATTTTGTCAGCAGGCAGAAATAATGGGATATTGTCGTAGACTACTGTTGCCAAAAGTAATTTCTGACGTTTGAGTGACATGGAAACGAAAAAGTCAGAAATTCTGAGGGCACGTTGAAGAGGTTCGCGTAGCATCATGGAAGTTTCGGATTATTTAAGCGTTTCGCGGGAAAATTAAGTCATTGTTGGTCGGTCAGTCTTATTTTTGACCACTTTCTTTTTTGTATTTTTTTTTTTGGTAATTTTGGTATTCCAAATCCTTGTAATATAATATCATTACAATTACTGATTTTTCTGCATGATTAGTAGTGCAGCCAGGTTAGTTTACCCTTTCCTCAGGGGTATTGTGCTGCTGCATGAGATGAGGAATACGTTTCCACACATTTTCCACAAGTTTTCGGCTACATCTTAACCATTTATCTCCCAGATCAAATTTGTAATTCTCCTTACTGTCGACCATACAATTCTTATAATGTTAGTTTGGATAATTTAGTATTGGATCAACTAATTATCCCCAAATTCTATTTTTCTTTGTTCTCATCACTTATCTGATTGATATTGTATTGATATTGTAAAGAGAAATTCTATTTTAGGTCACTCATGGGAGTTAAAGGATTAAGAGTGGATTTTTAGTGATTTTTCGTGTCTGGCGTTGCTCAGGTTCTTTTTTGTAGAATCCTTAGTGTCAGGGTGCACATGTTAAGATTTTATCAGGATGCGTATTCTAAAAGACTGACTGACTCATCCTAAATGAACTTTTCACATTGAAGAAAACACTCTGAAATAAGATCCTTAGCAAAAGTGTTCTAAAACACTTTTCATATTTACGTGACTTAAAAACAAGGCAATTATGTAAATTTGTCGGGCCTGCCTGCCCGAGCCGTCCGCTCATCGATAAAATTCATTCCCAGGCAGCACTAGTATCGCACAAGATGATAAGGGCATGGGTACCAGATAACAAAAGGACTAACATTTCCAGATTGAACTGTAACAGGTGTCTCGTTTCTTTTAATTAATTTCTGGGATTTATAATTCTTTCACTCTAGTTGAAAAATACGAAAATCTTATATGTAATGGCAATCTTTGTGGTTACCGTATGTCTCCTTTGTTTCTATTTTATACAATGAACTAAATACTACACGCTCACAGTTTGTTTGCTGCTTTTTATCTATTGGATTGCTGAGGCACGGCTCAAGTTGTTGGAATTTCTATTTTTAAAGTTCGTCGACCATGACGCACAGATTTTGAAAATGTCGGCGAGAACTTGTCACATAAAGCGAACGACGTTAATATTCGTAAACCTCATCACAAAACAACCGTGAAAGAAATAGGTAAATATAGACTTGGTTTATAGCCGGTTTTAGTCCAGTTACGTCTTCTTTTCTACCATACAACGTTAGTTAACGGTCACGCACTTCACATCAGACAGAGAAACATTGTCACCTTTACATCAGACGAAGAAAATGAGGGATGGGTCCTTTTCAGCGCCGTTGTCTCTTAGCAGAAGGTTCTGTTACAGCTGTACACTTCGACTCACTCTGCGCCTCTTGACTTCTTATGGTATCATACAGTGCGGTATCACTTACTTCTTCCTCATCTCCAATGTCGTCAAACCAATCAAAATTATCATCAACTGAATCAGTTAACTTACTTCCGGTCTTTGAAGCACTCCTTTCATTTTTCGTCCCTTTTCTTGCGTCACTTACGCCATCTTTCGGTTGCCTTGTTTCCATAGCAAGTGACTCCGTATGCATTTCAAAGTCTGAGTTATTGTTTAATGATGTCGAGGTCTTAGCTTTATTTGAGGGGCTAACAGTCGCGTAATCTTCCACGAAAGATTCCACAAATGAAAATAGGGTCTGTTGCCTTGGATCCTGTGGAACAAACCCACAAAAACAGTTCGTAACTTAACAGACGATGAGTACTACATTGGTTGGTGTCGAAAATTGATAACTATTACGTTACTTATGTATATTGAAGAATACCTTGAAGAATGTGCAGTCAGCTTCTAACATGTCTTCTGAAAGACCTGCTTTACCTAACACTTCCAACTTGTTTTGAATCAGCGGCCTGAAAGAAAACAGAGAAACAAACCTATCCTTCAGCGCCATCATGGTGTGGAGTTTCGTGGTAACGAAAGTAAAAGAAATGTTAGAGAAAAATGATTGACTGAAATCCATTGCAAATTTTAGAGAAAACAGAACATAGTTGTCTTTGTTTTTGCAAAGGCAGACATAACAGACTCGTTGCAAAACGTATCGAAGCTCCTTTGTATTCCAGGAGACAGCTTGCGTTTGAATGGCATCCAAATCACGCGAAACATTCATGATGAATAAAGTCAATTGTCACTCCGTACCAAAGGTAATCATCGGCAGTCTTTTTAGCAACAAGGTAATGAATATTCACGGAATTCCTCTGACCGATTCTGTGCACACGGTCCTCTGCCTGGACAAGCGCCTGAAAATAAGACAAATAAATACTAAGATTTACGATTGTGGTGTTTCTTGATTGGTTCAACACCTGTTAAAACTGGATCCTGTATCGGCCAATCAGAACAAAGAACAAAGAACAAGTGACACAGTAGTTTGCAGGACTCATGAGTAAATTTCCTCGCCTCTAGCCTCCCTATGCTCAGTTCCGACTGCATTTTGTGACTATGACTTCAGCTTGGGTTTTTTTTTAATATTTCATTCATTCAAATGCAGTCTATGATATTATCTGGGAAATATTAATTGCTCTCACCCCAGGATTCCAGAAGAGTTCAGCAAACACAACCGCGCTGGCCTCAGTAAGAGTCAGACCTGATAGTAAAACAAAACTTTTATCCAGAATAAAACGACAAATGATTAGAATGAGTTGAAATCTCTTCAGACAAGCTATGAGAATGTAAAATTCTGCAGCAACGCCGACATTCTGTCGCCTTCATTTGCCCTGTAGATCGAAAAGCAATTCTTCAGTTCACTAAAACGATTTGTTGAGAAAACTTGCGGTTTCACCTGTATTCGCGGCTGTGATTGACAAAACAGCGACTAAACACTCCTTGTTTTGCTGAAACTGATCACACAAACTCTGTCGAATTCCGGCTGGCGTACTGCCATCGATACGAATGAACTTATACTTCTGAAAGATAAAGGGAAAAGTGACTAAAAATTTATATAATTCGATTTCAATCCTGATTACAGCTGCGTTACCTGATCACATAGGGACGAGATGTGGAATGGAATTCAAATATTCTGCCCAATTTTTTTTCACCACTAACTTGATTGAAAAGTAGGAATTCAATTTAAGAGAGAGATTCCATTTTTCTTTGATAAATAAAAAAATCGTGTCAGACGCGGTGGCCGGGTGATGAACCGAAAGGTTCCAGCCCTGCCCATGGTCATCATGTTCTGCTCTCGGCCAGCACACCTCACAACTGAAAATGCTGCTTGGAGGAAAGTGGTTGGAGGGGAAGGGACTATCTGCGATGGACTACAATCCCCTGGTGGAATAGCATCACTCGGTCCTACTCCGATACGCGACAGAAAGTGGGCTAAATTCGCATGGTTATTAGCTTGTGGACGCGTAGGGTTCGACATTCATGTAATCAATACAAGCGTGCATTTAAAAAGACTTCTGAAATAACCATCAGACGAATAAAATACGTTAACCGTAACACTGACCTTTTGAGTGAGACAACTGGTAATGGCGTCCATCATCTTTTTGTGATGCGCAAAAACTAGAAATTTGCGGCCGCTTTCTAGAAGGTCGAGTATGTAATCTCTGATGGTGGAACCAGACAAAGAATGGTGGTTTATATGTCAAAGAATATCAAGTCTCCCTACTGAAACAAAATCTTTCCTCTAAGTTTGTTGGAACTGGATAATCACAATCATTAGCTCATCAGTTGAAATTTCCATTCTCTATTACCAGGTTGTGTGCATATGTAGGGAATATTGAAAATTGTTGCACGAGCGTGGTGGGATATGAGGTGGTAGATGGTTACATAGTTAACACGCGCAAGTGAAATAACCATTTATTAACTTATGTCTTCAAATGAGAAAAATCGTTATAACAGTTCTGCAAAAGAAATATTGAGGACGCTTCACAAGATACTTTGAGTAAGCCATGGTTAATAAAGACAAGTAAATACAGACAAGTAAATAAAGTTAATTTCAGGCCTGCTTGCTCTGTAAAAACATACATGAGGCATCTTCCGAAGAACTAAAGTCTACCGCTTACCTGACCGCAGGAATTTTGCTGGCGCTAGTTTCAAAGAAGTAGTTGAGAAGAGCTCCATGTTGCTCTTGTTGCTGAAAAAGTAATGAAAACACATCAGACTTCACAAACTGGTCAAGAAAGCGTTAACAGTGTACTGGCAGCCTGTCGGGAACGATCATGATCACTCTACAAAAGGGGTGGAAAATCCTGCCCAGGTTCTCTCACCTCCTCCTTCCAGGAGTAAGCCTGGGACGAGGCTGAAGAGGTGCTACGAGGCTTTAAAACCGAACGGCGCAACCAGAGAGACGTTAGTCAACTTCTGCCATTAATTGTGGATTTTTCTTTCTCCTTACTGAGCAAAACGCCGCTCCTAACTTTTCTTCACTTTACCTCGAGTGCTCTCCAAGATACAACAAATACGTAACATTTCGAACTAAAATGGATATTAAGCTTATTATCAGGTATCACGCACTTTCAAAGAAAATGTTTAAATACTTTACCTTAGCTTTAGAAACCTCCTTTGCAGCCTTTTCCAAAGTTTTGGTCTTTATAAGTGATGGATCCAACAGCACCTACAAAAAGATCGAAAGGATTACAAGCCTGTTGGTAAACCTTCAATCGAGAAAGCTAATCGTTGAAAAGAAAATTAAGAAGACAAAAACAGCAACTGAAGGAAGTAAGTATAAGAACTTGATGAAAATACCATTTGTCGTCGTTTTGAAGGTAGTTGAGAGAGAACGTCTTTCTTCAAACGTCTGCCGAAAAGTTACGAAAGAGATGGTTGGACTTCAGAACTATAAAATAGTTACAGAAAAGGGTGGCAGCCTAGACACGGTAATCAATAAAGTATAGGTTCAGCTGGGCTTGAACGCTCCGATTAATGAAGTGAAACTCTGTGAGACGAAACCTATAATTGGATAGGTGACTGTAATAACTCTCCGTTTTGTTCTTACTCGTCTTACTTTATTATTAATTTAATCTGAGTTTTAAAACATGGAAACGTGAAGGGCATAAGGATGAACGGTTGAACAGCCTGTTATAGCATAACGGCCAAATTTTCTTGGCTTCATAGGGTGCCATATTCCCCTACTTATGGTACTGACACGTCAATAAAATAATGGTTTCTCTCGGATCCCCTACCCTTTTAACAGGCCTCATATCATACTTTGCATTCACAGAGTATATTTAATTTAGAGTACTGATTACATTTTTCGCATAAGGAGACCACGATACTGGAATCGGATCGCTCGGCACATCTACGGTTGAACTACCTCTAGCCTATCACAGTGCCAAGAATCCTGCTAATGCACCGGTGTTGCCGAGGTTACCTAAAACGTTACAGGTCAGAGTCAAGTATCACGTTCAACTTACACAACCTCATTTTGAGTACTGATTACATTTTTCACGCACGGAGACAAGTATACTCGAATTGAATCGCTCCATACACTGTACATCTGCGGTTTAACTACTCCAAACTTATCACAGCGTCGCTCATCATGGTTTAGAGTAGTATACAGGAGTTATCGAGGTTTCTTAAACGTTACAGGTCAGAGTCAAGTATCAGATTAAAATCACATGTCTTAGGGCTCAAAAAGACTCTATGTTACCTGATCATCATCTTTTCCTCCAAAAGTAGTTGAAGCTCCTGCATGTTGGATGCGCCTGAAAAATCCCAACCATACCGATTCTACAAAAAGAATCAATACATGTAATAACAATGGTCATAATCACAAGAATCGAGATGAAGATAATAATTTTCACGATAGTTATATCAATCAATTATACATTTATCGATAAATTAACCCAGAGAGCAATAGTAGCAATACAAAGAAGACGTAACAAGTTGAATTCTTTTGAAGAGAGATGTAAGACTCCACCAACACAAGTGAGCACCAATAGTTGTTTGAACCAAAACCTAACTAATCACAAAGGCCGGTCAGAATAAGGGAAAATATCACAAGATACCAGTAATAACTAAAATTCAACGAAAACAAATTACGTGAAGTTTCAAAACGCGAGAATCCCAATTGCGATTTCTGACCGGTTGGTAGGGTGGATGGTGAGAGTTAACTGGACCAATCAAAAGCTGAAGCAAAGAAAAACCAATGCACTCGGGGTTTTTTTCGACGCTCCTCAAAAATTGCTCTAATTAACGCCAATCTAAGTTAAATTACCACGAAAATTAGTAGTTTTCTTTGGTAAAAAAATCCAGCATTAATGTAAATCAAATTTCATACTATTTGACTTTGAAGCCACTTTTGAAGGCCCCACTGAGGAGTAACCAAACCTGAATACGTTTCTTTGGCCTCCTTTTCATTCTAGATCGCAATATTAATAGTTTTTTCACAAAATGCAACAAAATGGACTGGCGTTTGGCTAAGATTCACTCTACCAGTCCTTAGTTAATTATAAAGAATGCTTTCAGGCAAATGAAATTACAAGTTATAGCGACTTTTGAGAAAGGTTCCCCAAGTAACTCTTGGTAAATCTTGGGCCATTTGGCTTAAAAGGACCTTAACCCACCTGTTGGCCAGCACAGTAACGAATTCCAAACAGATGAAATGTAGGAAATAATCCTGGTTGGATGGCACAGATCTGGGTGTAAAGCTCTAATGGCCGCGAGAGAGCTGGGGTTCCAGATAACAGGATCACACGAGTGGCTGCCTGAAACACAAAGATTGTGAAAAGGAGTAACCTTACATAAAATTAATAAAAAATGATGACACCGAAATAAAATTACAACATCTTGAAAATAAATTATTAAAAAGTGTCTGCTTAGTCAGTCATTTGATGTATTTGTTCGATTTACACTTTACTTAAAGACAAAATGACTTCCATTACTTATTGAAATCTCTCATGGGAGACAGATATCACAACACTAGAAAATCTTGTATCCTAATAAAATCGTAATCTCATGATTGCAAAATAACATCATGGTGATTGTACCTTAAGGAGTGGCAATGATGCCTGGGTTCTGGAGGCTTTATAGTTCTTGATAAAATGACATTCATCCTGGCATGAAGGAACAATGAATATAAGCAAAATCTGTAGACTGATTGACTGATTCACTTGCTGATTGACTGATCAACTGACTGACTGGCTGACTGACTGGTGATTGATTGACAGCCTCACTGAATGACAGACTGATTGCCTGACTAATACACCAACTAACTGAGCAACTAACTGTCTGACTGATTACTTGACCAACTGATTGAATGAGTGACTACAGAATGAGTAGCTAATAGACTAACTAATTGACTGGCTGATTGCCTGACTGACTAATCGACTGCCTACCTAACTGACTGACTAATTGATTGACTAACTGACAAACTGACTGTCTAGATGATAGACTCATTTACCAATTTATGCTTAAACTATGACAGCAATGTTTCTGTATCTACTTAGTGCTTCCTACAAATAGATTTCAAGACTTTCTTTGTAAGAAAGAACATAATTAAGTAATATACATGACATCTTCAACGATTACGCTTTAAGCTTGACGAGGACTTACCGCTATAATGACTCTAAACTGTTTCTTTTTCAACTCCTCTACACATTTAGACATGAGATCATAACTTATTATATTGATAAGCCCAGCAGTGGGATTGTCCTTTCCAGTAAGGACTACATTAATGTCTGCTGGGTCCACAGTGGGAAGCCATTTGATAAAGGCCTGCAAACGAAATAGAATAAATAAAAAATCTTTGTTTAAAGCATTTACCATGAGGCCCTCATGAGTCCACACCTCTCTCTAATCTATTGATAAAAATTCTTAACATCTTTCCAACTAGAGGGGTTATTAAAAAGAAAGCAAAAAAAATAGTGTACCTGTCAAATAGTTCATTGCAAAAGGGTTGCTCAAATTGATTTAACCCTTTTACTCCCAAGATCTAATTAGTAATTCTCCTTACTATCTGCTATACAATTCTTATGATGTTAGTTCAGAGAATTTGGTATTGGATCAGCTAATAATCCCATGATTGATATTCTTCTCTATTCTCATCACCTGCCTGCTTGATATTGTATTGATATTGTAAGGAGAAATTCTGTCTTGGTCACTTGTGGGAGTGAAAGGGTTAAGAACCAGATTGTTTGGTGAGTGGCTGGTGCACAAAGAGAGAGGCCACATTCAAACTTATTTTAACTTCTTCCTCCTTAAGCACATTTCTGTTCATCCTCAAACTCATCAGCCATGTATAAATTAATAAAGTCATGCCTTTTCCTCTGCTATAACATTAGTGACCCTCCCTCAATTTCAAACTGATTTCCTTCCCTCTAACAATTAAATGTCTCTTTCTCCTTGTAATAAGTGCACTTGTCTAAGTACCTGCTGCCAAGTTATTCTGAGTGAGGATGGTGTAATAACAAGAAGGGGCCACTCAGCCCGATAATAGCTTGCAACACAGATTGCTTGAATAGTCTTTCCCAGACCCATGTCATCAGCAATCAACACTCTTCCATCATGGCGTATTCCAAAACTAATGAAAAGAATATAAAACAGAATATTTAAGAGGCAAGTTATGGGTAGAAGAGATATTCCTAATTCTTAAGGTTATTCTTGGAAATCCTCAGAAGCACATGAATTTTGATGTATGGCTTAACATTCCATCCAGTTATACTGTCTGCAGTTCTAAGTGTTATTAAGCATGTTCAAATTTGTGTAACAATTTGAGTCATACTATTTTTTTCTATTTACTAGTTACTGTACAAAATTGTATGATCACCATTGTTTGCTGAAAAAATGGTCAAAGCAAAGTGGACACTTATCTTCATATTAGCTTAAAATAGAAATAACAGCTGCAATCAGAAACCTATGTTTCCCAAAAAACATTTGCCTATAAGACACAGCCAAACTTTGACAGTAATTTTCAACAGAAAACATTAATTTCTTGGAAAAACAGTGTACCTTATGAGCAAAAAAACTGCTGTATCTTCTTCTGGTGACATCTTATGATCTTGTCATGATTTTGACAAGGAATGCAACTCTACATTTGTTATAACTACAACACAAACCAAACAAAACAGACCTAACTCCTTCTATTTGAAATGGCATCAGTGCTTTAACAAGCTTGTAATCCACAGAGTTTAAATTGATATCACTGGTTGGCAATTCCTTCAGAGTGCCTGGAGTAGCAGTTAAAAAAGTTGACCTCACTGCTTTAGGTAATCCTTCCACTGTAATATGAGGGGGCATAGACTGAACTGCTTGCACTGTTGAATAGATCACACTTGATTTCTGTTATCATATCCATATAGAGTTTAAAGGACAATTTTGCCTCCTCTCGCAATAGAACAAAGGGTGAACACAGTAAAGAATTAAGGCTGTTAAAACTGTAGTTGAAAATTAGCAAGGGCTAGTAAACTTCTGTTTGATTCAAGCACATCAATTAAATAAAAAACCAATAATGGATCACACCTCAGGTTATCATGTCTACATTCACTGATTAACTTACTGAAGGTAGATATTAGCAGGATATTCACCACTCCAAAAAGAAGTAAGGTGAATCTTCAATCCATCTCTTTGGTTTAGGGCTGGGTTGTTCAAATCTGGGTTAAGTTAATCCAGGGTTTCTGTGAATTCTGATTTCAGATTTGAAAGCTTTAAAGGAAATTTAGACTGGTATAACTCTCTTTTCTATAATTTGATGATTGGATAAAGAAAGTTATCCCAAAAAAGGCTTAAGAGCAGAGGAATAAAAAATTGGATTAGTGCTAATTAGCCTTTGAACAATTGAGCCCAGAAATTTCAACAAAACCTTTGTCAGCCTCAAGGTTTTTAGACCAGCACCTTTGTGTGATTTGGTTCATTCATTTAATACACCATAGAGTTGGGAAGAGGATTAGCACCACATAATTAAACCAATTACAGTTAACAAAGAAAGATAATAATTAAGAAAGCCTGGTTTAACATACTGAGCTTTTCATAATCTGTCAAAGAGAAGTCCCACTGCATTGTCTTTGCATCTAAAAATAGAGATAAATAAGGAAGTAAATGTTGATGCTTGGGAATGGACAACATCTAAGCAATGTTTATGTGGGTAAAAGATGTGCATGTGTTGAGTTCACTTTTTGATTAACCGTTGTAGAACTTAAGCATGAAATATCACTGAGGCCATTTAGGAGAGAGTGTAAGATATCAATCTGAGCCAAGTACAATTTCCTATCTTCATCCAAATCTTCCTTGTGGTAATTCTCTCTGTTTGCAGGTTACAGTTAAGAAAACTAACTGTGAAAGTCAACATACCATAATTTCTGCTTGGTAAAGTTTTAAAAATTCCAATGAGTTGTGCTTGATAAGGAACAACAACTGTAAATCTCTGTCTGCTAATCAGTGCACAGTTACCCTTCACTGGCTTCTCTGAATTCTCCTTAAAATTCACAACGTTACCAGTATTTGGCTTTGATGTTCCTGCTCTTGGGCTTATTTTTGAAGAAGTTGATTTGGTCGTGGTTGCTGTAGCCCCAGACGATTTACACGGACTAGTGAATTTGGTTTCAGAATTTCTTGTGAATGAAGAGGAAGAGGTCTGCGGACGATAAAATTTGGAGATCGAGCGTTGAAAAGAATTTAGCGATCCTGCTGAGTTGTAGGTTTTAGATGCAGAGGCCATGGAGTCTGCTGAATTGTTCTCAAAAACGTTTGAGCCATTCAAGCTCGATTTTTCTCTAGATTGCAAAGATACCTGTCTCTGTGGTTCTCTTGACTTTATACTGCTGCCCCGAGGAAATAGACAACGTTCCTCTCTAGAGGTTGTAACCATACGACTCGAAGCAAATTTGCCATCAGCTCCATCCGTTACTGACGGCGCAATTTGCTGCTGTCGTTGACTTTGAAGAGCCGCTCGTTTCTCGAGAGCTTTTCGACGATTTTCTTCAATTCTCCTCCTTTGATCCGCTGTTAAGCCTCCCGCTGACATCTATTTTGTTATCAATCAAAGCTAGGGGGAATGAATGAGTTTATACCGGATGTACACAAGTTTCATCTTCGAAATGGCCGCCATGACTAATAACACCGCTGATATTTGTGCGGCTCAACTCACATTACCCAGATATCATTGCAATATTGCGTAAGGATTTCACCACGTTGGTGTCAATCGTAGAAGGTAATCGAAGTTCTGTGTTTTTCTGCCTGTTCACCCCTGCCTGAATTATCTTTACGCTTTTTACCAGGAGTATCTGATTATAAAAGATTCCTCTGAGTTTTTAAAAGGTAAGATAAAGCGAAAATGCCGTTGTTTACGTGCATAACATGTCGCGTTGCTTTTGCCGATGGTGAAATTCAACGTCGTCACTACAAAACCGACTGGCATCGGTACAATCTCAAGAGAAAAGTCGCAGAAATGCCTCCTGTTACCGCAGAAGTCTTCCAGCAAAAAGTTAACGAGCAAAAAGCCGAAGCTGAGGCACAACAGCAGAGTAAAACGAAAACGATGAACTGCCAGCTTTGTAACAAGACTTTCTCCTCTGAGAATTCCTTTACGAATCACATGAGTTCCAAGAAACATAAAGAATTGGAGACCGCTAAAGCTAGAAAGGAGGAAATTATGACGAGGAAAGGTCTTTCAACCGAAAAAGTAGAATTGGAGAGGCAAGAGATAAGAAAACAGAATAGTATATCTGAAAATGCTGACTCATCTAGTGATGAAGATGACGATGATGGCAGTGACTTTGAGGAAGAAGCGCTGGAAATCACAGATTGTCTGTTTTGTCCGCATCACAGCGTCAGTTTGGAAGACAACATGAGACACATGACACGATCTCATAGCTTTTTCATACCTGACTTGGAATTTGTGGTAGACTTCAAAGGACTTCTAACCTACCTTGGTGAAAAGGTTGGAATTGGCAACATCTGTCTTTATTGCAATGAGAAGGGAAAGAACTTCTTTTCTACCGAAGCTGTACAGAAGCACATGGTTGACAAGGGCCACACAAAAATCAACTATGAAGGAGATGCTATTTTGGAGTATGCTGATTTTTATGATTTCAGCAGTAGTTACCCTGATTATGATCCCAATGAAGAAAATGGCAGCGATGAAATTGAAAGAGATAACACATTAGCAGTTGATGAACAGACATTGGAACTTTGCTTGCCTTCAGGAGCTAAAATTGGTCACCGTAATTTGCGTCATATCTACAAGCAAAGCCTGCCTCCAGAAAGAAGTCGTCATTCAAAAGTGATCCACAAAATTGTTGCTGATTATAAAGCCCTTGGTTGGCATGGCACCATTGGAAGTGTATCACGTCAAAAAGTCAAAGATGTCAGGCTACAAAACAAGCAGCAAGCCAAAAGAACAGTAGATATCTCAGTCAAAGCAAACAAACTTCAAAAGCATTACAGAGCTCAAGTATTGTTTTAGATTGGCGATTTGCTTCATGTACAATTACACATATTTTTCAGTATAACATGCATGCACTTTTCTAGTGCACTGTATACCGATGGCTTTAAGATAATGCCTTTGAAGCCTCCAAAACAAGCAACTTTCTGTTATTTGGTTTTGAGGTCCAGTGGAACCTTAAGTAAATAATTTCTTTTTCTAAAGTAGTACCCTTAAGCTAATTGGGTACACTATGAATGTACAACGAAATCGAGTAAATGGAACATAGATATAAATTTATCATTTTTATGAAGATCTTACTGGTAAAGGGGAAACTATTTCATCATTAATTCTCAAGGCATAGTAAAGAATCCAATCTTTGGACTACTAAAAAACAAATCCAGTTGTGTGAAAGAGAGGAGGATTTGAGGCTGGGACCTCCAGTTTTTCAATCTAGGAGTAACTATGTAAAACGATGGGGTCATTTTGCTTTTGCATGAAAAAAAGAATATACAGCTGTTCTGTTAAGTTGAAATTTCAATTTCAGTTTGTCTCATGCTCTATTATTTGGCCACCTACTTTTTCTTAACTGCCTTTAACTTCGAAACTCATTGACAGCCTTGTAACTGACTTAAAAGAAATTTAGAATATTGTTGGGCAGTTAATGTTAAAGCTTAGGTGTAGACTACCTGCTTGAAAGTTACTTCAGCATCCCATAATGGTAAATGTGTTTGCTCCTTTTTTTGTCAAAGGCCAAGTCTGTCCCCAAGCTAAGTGGGCTGAAGCTTATGCAGGTCTTAGCCTGCAATGCAGGCATCTTATTGGGGTGAGCTAATGTCATAAGTGCACAATCTCAAGGGATTGTTTATCCAACCAGCCATGTTTGATTTGGAGTTGGAGTGGATGGTGGGGGCTGGGGACAGGCAAGAAGACAGAGTAATCTTCATTCCCCTACCCCCACCTTTGCCCCTCCTTATTTGTGACCATTACCCTTGGCATAAATTTCTTTCTCTTCCCAGTCTTCTGCTGCCATTAAAATCAAAGATGGTAGGCAAAATTTTCATTAAGAAAATACTGAGCACTTACTTGCCAAAATAGAGCCTGATCTGCAGACTAGCAGGCCTTTTTCAGCATGAAGTGACTTTGGGCATAACTACTCCTCTGGATGGGATGTTGGTCCAAGGAAGGTAACTTCCCCCCCCACCACCACCACCAACATTATATCAGGTAATCCTAGCAGATCATCAGTACAAATTTAGGATGCATTCCTTTGGGAGAATTTCAGAATTCTGATCTGTGGCGTTCCTTTCGGGCAAATCCATTTTCAGATCAGTGATCTATCAAATCCTCTCTGGACAAGGATTCATCGGATCATTGATCTAACGCGTTCCTTCGGGCGGAGGATCCGAAATTAGTCATTTTGCTCAATTTGTGATCCAAGATCACACATCACGGTGCATGAAAGGAACGGAGTTTTAGACGAGCTCTCAGAGAATTCCAAAAAGTGCGCTATTTTAAGACTTGTGTATGTACGTGGGTTATTGAGCTCTTCCCTGAATGGCTCGCTTAAACTCCGTTCTTTTCATGCACCGTGATCTAAGTGATCTTGGATCACAAATCCTAATCCGGATCCTCCCAAAGGAACACACCCTTAGTCACGCATATCAGTGATCCGATAAATCCTTGTATAGAGTGGTTTTGATAGATCACGGATCTGAAAATGGATTTGCTCGAAAGGAATAATTAACGCCACAGATCAGAAATCCTGATCTGGATTCTCCCAAAAGAACGCACCCTTGATTCCATCGTTTGAGTTTACTATGAAAAAATGTGCTTCTAATGAATAGTGCTAATTAAAAGCCCGTGCAGTGAGACAAGCATACACGTCTTAAAATAGCGGACTTTTTGGAATTCTCTGAGAGCTCGTTTAAAACTCCGTTGCTTTCATGTACCGTGATCTATGTGATCTTGGATCACAAATCCTAATCCGGATCCTCCCAAAGGAACGCACCCAGAGTCTTCCATACATATGTTTCAGCGCTCCAGTGATCTCTAGTTTGTAGTTTTATTACCTTGCTAACCGAGTGGCACACTCCTTGAACATGTAAGAATCTGTGAAATGGTTTTAAGTCTTTAACTTCCCAACATTTTATCAGGGAACATGCACCCCAGGCCTCCCCTTGGGCCTTCTTGTGTCTTCTACTTGAATCGCAAATATTCTTCAGTGAATTAATGCTCCTGTCCTTATTCTCCTTTTGTTTTAGTGAGAATCCTTTCCATGTAAAAGCAGCAAATTTTACACTTTGTTGGATAAATTTGCACTTTGGAAGACAGTATTTATATTCAAAACAATATATTGTTAAAATAACACATTTTTAATGGGATTTTATCACTTAACAATTATTCAATGAGCTCCCATTGGCTACAAGATGATAAATAGCCACTGAGGCAGTACCACCAAGCTGGTTATAACCAAGGATTTTCCTTGGTTTTCATTGAATTTCCGTGACTCTCTATGACCTACATGGAAAAGAAAATTTAAAGGCTTTCCAGCCTGGAAAAATGCCACTGTAATTTCATGATTTTCCAGACTTCCTTAACCCTTCAACTCCTAAAATCTGATTGTTAATTCTCCTCTCCAGCTTTTACACAATTCCTGACAAATAAGTTTTGCAAATTTGGTATAAGATCAAGATAACAACTTCTACCTGTGAAGTTTGGGTATCTTCATCCACTCTTTGCTGGATAATGTATGGATATTATAGGGAGAAGTTTCACGTTAATCACTTCTGGGAGTTTAAGGGTTCAGTCATACAACCTTGCTTCAAGTCATGTTGTCCATTTTCAAAGTGATTAATAACCTGATATATTTACAACAGGGGGATTTGAGTGGGAAGATTTCTTTCTTTTTTCTTTTTTCATTCTGCTCCAGTTTATAGGACTCAGGCCAACCTTACAGTCACTCCCTTGATACAAACATTACATTACCAAATGCAGCATAATTTGCAAAATATTTCCCAACTTTCATTATTAATTTTAAGAGGCTATCACAAAATCTTTATTTCTCTTGCTCGATCTTGGTCTTATAATCTGTACTAGATTTTCCTCCTCTAAACTTTGTTAATTTTATTACCAAATAATTTTCAAGTGAACCTCTGCCTTTAACAAATAAACCCCCTCACAAATGGCTTGGTTATAATTATGCCAATTTAACTCAGGCATGTCCTGAAATTTTAAACATTTCCAGTCTGTTAGATATGATAAACTACTACTTATAAGCCCTGGACTTGAACAACTTTGTAAGAAGTTTTAGGACCTTGTAGAAATATCTGAGGGGGCTTATAACTGGAATAGATAAAGCACTTGATAACAAGCTAGAGCAGTGTGGATCAAAATATGTTTTGCATTTACTGGTTTACCCATTTACACCCTAACATCAGTTTGCATATACTCCAAACTGTTCTCTATACATTTCCTGAGGTACTGACAAGGAGAATTTGTAAAACAATCACGAGCTCCTTTACGTAATGATCATTTCCTTTATTCCCATGACCTGAATATGTGAATCAGAGGTGATCTTGTAAGGAGAAATTAGATGCTTGTCACTCTTGGGGGTTAAAGGGTTAACCTTCAAGATGTCACATTATACCAAGATCCTATCTCTCGAAACCAGAATAGCTTAAGTTGGAGGGGGCTTACAAACGGCAGGTTGCATTAACTCCAAAGTTGGGAGAGATCTGTCACGTGGAACAGAACAACTTGCAAGTGTGACTTGGAAACTCCTTGATATTATCATATACTCTCACTACATCCAAGTGCTCTTCCAGGCTATCAATCAGTATTTTTGCTTGCTGTAAAGGTTCTTCAGACAAAGAAACAAGTTTTCGTGGTAAGTATTCCTGTTCTGACGAAAGAAATCTATCAGGGAACCTGTTTGATAAGTCATTGTAAACTTGTTTCACATCTTCCAATGCACAGATGAACTGAAAGCAAAGTAAAATAACTAGTGGTTAGAACTCCTGTGGTTACTCTGCCGGGGAGCACTCTTCATTTGAAGTAATGGGGATCATGTATTGTGAAAGAGAAATATAATTCTTGATTTGTGGACTTTTTAAAGGGTGAAACAATATCATCATAAGACAAATATCCCTTCAGAAGGTGCAAGGGATTTAAATAGGTGAGGCAACCTTGATGGGACATTTCAGGGTTTCAATAATAGTAATAATGGTGTGACGGTGTGTTAGGACATTAATTTACCAAAGGTTCCAAACCTCGATATTTTATTACAATAAAGAACGGATGAATGTTATGACAAAATTCATGGATATGGATCGAAGATTCGAAATCTGTAAAGTAATCGGTTAACAAATTGGTTTCAGTTCATATCGATAATATCGAAAGAAATCAAGATAAATATTTACCCATTGGTTCTAGGTGTCCATAACACTGTCTAGCGATAGAAAATCTTAACAATTATATCTGTTATGTCATCAAATTATAATGCGCAAAGAAATTAGAATATTGCGCAATACACTCCCCGCCGGCAATTACAGACTGTTTAAAGTTTTCGGTAAAAATCATTTCAGAATTACACATAATAGTTCAGAGTTATTATTGCCAAAATGTTTTGAGATAGTTCATTTGTGTTCTGATGCAGGTAGGATAGTTATCAGCTTGTTAACTGGTCGTTCGATAGTTGTAAAGCCTTTCCCTTTGTATTCGGTCACTTTTTCGCCAGGCTTGGGATTTTTATATTCGACGAGGGCTCGTCTGACCTTCCCGTCTTCCCCTTTGTAAACTTTTGATATTTTCCCAAGTTTCCATTGTCCTCTTTTCGCGTTAGAATCTTGGATAAGAACAATGTCATCAATTTCAAGGTTTCTCTGGGCCGTGTGCCATTTTTGTTGGACTAATAAGCTTGGAAAGTAGTCTCGAGTCCATTTCCGCCAAAATGAGTCAGTTAGTTGTTGTATAAGTTCAAAGCGCTGTTTGATGTTGGACGGCTCTTTGAAAGGTCCACTTGGTACTCTTGATGTTGCTCTACCAAGGAGGAGGTCATTGGGACAAAGATAGGTATCATCTGTTGATGTAGGATGTCGGCCGATTGGTCGTTCATTTACAAGATTTGCCGCTTCATAACAAATGGTTTGTAACTCGGAGAAGGTTAGAACGCTTTCACCAATAGCTAATGTGATTGCTTTTTTCACGGATTTAATAAGTGCTTCCGATACACCGTTTTGCCAGGGGGCATCTGCTGATGAGAACTTCCATTCAAATCCTTCCATTACTCCGAACTCTAATAGCTGTTTCTTATCTAAGTCGTTGATGACTTTCTTTAGCTCGGCTCTTGCTGCTACTAATTGGCTGCCATTGTCAGAATACAATTTGGAAGGGTATCCTCTGATCGATACAAATCTTCTTAGTACCATTAGGAATTTATCGGTACTGTAATCAGGAGCTATGTCGATATGGACAGCTCTGGTTCCCATGCAGTTGAACAGTACTCCATATCCCTTTCCAAATGTTCTTTTCTTGACTTCGTCTTTAATCTTGAAGGGTCCGAAATAATCAATCGCAGTGGAATTCCACGGGGGTGCGGGTTTCAGCCTCTCTATTGGGAGTTTTCCCATAATTTGTTCTTCTGGTTTTCTTTCAAGCTTTCTACAGATAATGCAGTTGTATTTGATGGATTTGGTTAGTTTCAACAACTTCGTGATCCAAAATCTTGATCTCACCTTGCTGGCCGTCGCGAGGAATCCGAGATGGCCTCTTCTGTGAATATGCTCAGCATAAAGGCGTGAGAGGCGATGTTGATATGGCAGAAATATTACCTCGGTTTTGTTATAACTCATCTCGATCCATCTCTCACCGCGGCCACCTACGACGTATATGCCATCATCGCGCCTCCTTGGACAAAGTCGTTTGTATTTCCCTTTATCTATGTCACGTTGCATTGATTTTTGAGCTTCATGAATCCAAAATGTTTCTGCCTTCGAGATATCATCTGGTGTGAGCGGTCTTGAGGCATTTTTAAATGTCATCTTGTGTGTCTTATTATACATTGCTAGAATTCGAGCGGTTGTATGGATAAGCTTATTGTAGGTTGAGAACCTATCAATGTTTATTCGTTTTGCGAGTGAATCGTTTACAGCTTCATCTGGTTTGGTATGTGTGATTACGTTTGCATGCCGTTGTGTATAAGTACGTGTGATTGGCCATGCAGATTCAGGCAGCTTCAGGAAATCCGGTCCTTTTTGCCACAAAGTGTACATGCCAATTTCATTTGACTTCTTTCCGCGGGTCAGCCAGTCGGCGATGTTATTTTTGCTCTCTGTCCAATACCAGTTTTCGGGATCTGTGTTTTCTTGGATTTCTCCCACCCGAACGGCTGCGAATGTGTTGTAACCATAGTTCTCCTTCTGGATCATGGCATGGACAATCTGCGAGTCTACAATATAGATGATTCTTTCAAACTTGTATCTACAGTGGGATGTTATAGTTGTTTTCAATCTGCTGCTTAGTACAGCTCCGCAAAGTTCGATACGATCGATGGATATTTTCTTTACAGGTGTTAAGCGGTTTTTAGATATGATGAGATGACTATCAAATTCTCCTGTTGTCAGTTTCCATCTAGCATATGCGCATGCGCCATACGCGTTTGTCGACCCGTCAGAGAAAATGATGAGGATAGGATTTCCTACGGTATTAGGAGCTTTCATGCATCTTCTTATTTTCACTTCATTCATTCCTGGCAGATCATCGAAGAAAATCATCCAGTCTTTCGTGTGATCTGATGGTATAGGATCATCCCAGTCGAGGGTGAGGTCACTTATCCATAGTTGTCTCATGAGGATCTTAGCTTTGACAGTAACTGGTCCTGCTAGTCCGAGTGGATCGTATATGCTGTTCACTTGTGACAGGATCTTCCTTTTTGTCAAAGCGTCACAAGCGATGGGCTTGGGATTCTTCTTCTTCATTTTGCCTTGTAAATTTAGCTTGACCTTGAAGCAAAGTTCATCTTGGTTAGTATTCCATTCGACACCAAGGACCTTTTCCGTCGCTGTGTTGGGTGTAACTGGTAGGATTGATTGAACATGGCTTGCGTTATAGGAATACATCCACTCTTTAATCTGAAATCCTCCTGTGATCAGAACTTTCTCCATGTCTGAGGCAAGGTTTTTGGCGTCTTTCAGCGTAGGAACACTTTCGATAAGGTCATCCATGTAGGTGTTATTGATTATTACGTTTGCTGCCTCAGGGTATTGCTGTTTGAGTCGCTCTGCTGTCTTGCGTAATGCCAGTGTCGCTATGGTCCCAGAGGGGCGATCTCCAAAGGAAACCCTTTGTATGATGTATGTATTGGGATGTTGACTTGTATTGAAGTCACGCCATAGGAAGCGATGAGTATGGTGATCAATTTCCTGAGTTCTGACAGTATGATACATCTTCTTTACGTCTCCGATGATGGCGATTTCATTTTCTCTGAATCGTATCAGGATTCCTAGTAATTCGTTCAGTAAGTCTGGACCCTTGGCCCAATACTCATTTAGGACGTGTCCCATATAATTCGCACTGCTGTTGAAGACGATTCTCACGGGGGTCGATTTTGAGTCAGGTTTCAGGACTTCGTGGTGAGAAATGTAGTGGATTGGTCCTTTATAGCTTTGTAACTCATCCTGGGAGAGTTTTCTTGCTACACCTCTAGCAATCATATCTTCTATTTGCTTTTGATAGACGTCAGCGTGAGCTTTATTTTTCATGAGTCGCCTTTCAGTTGACATGAGCATGCTGAATGCTACGCGCCTGTTGTCAGGAAGTTCGTAAGGGTCTCTGATCCATGGATACCCGGCAATCCATACCTTATTTTCTTCGTCGTATTTCAAATTCTTGTCGATTAGTGCTAATTCCTTCTCCTCTTTGATGCTGTAGTTTTTACTTCCGACTGAACATTTGCCACATTTGCAGCCTCCACAGCGCGGATTGCAATTGATCCCGAGATTCTCGATGTTATAGAAATCTTCGATTCTTACTGCTCGTACATGATGAGCTCTGATGTTTCTAAGAGGTTGCTCTTTATTCATATTCTTGATTAAAGAATGTGTCCCGCCAAGGCATCTACCGAAACGGTTCTTTAGGAGTAGGAGGTGGTCGACGTTCTTCTCCTTCTGAGGATGATAGTTGGCGTATTCATAGCCTATTAAAACATCGACGGTACCAGTGGGTCGAACAAGATCTTCTTTTGGTATGTTATTGAAGTGTTTTGCAATCCCGTCTATCTTAACGTTCTGGATGTCTGAAGTGATTTTGTCTATCCCGTACACGTCAAAGTAAATCCGATTGCCTTGTAGGTCAAATAGAGGAAGTTTGTACTTGTATGAAATCAGGGCTTCATTCTCTCCTCCAACCTTAACCAGAGATAGCTGAACTTTGGTTCCTCTCAGTTTCTCTGCCTCTGCTTTTGCATTTGTAATAAAGGAAAGAGATGCTCCATTATCCCACAAGACATTAACCCAACCTTTTGGACTTCGTATTTTCTGTATCTGAAGTAAACAGGTGTCAACGTCAGTGCTGTCGCATACACTTGCCGTGCCAGAAACTGAAGGTGGCGTTTCTTCTTGTTTGGGCGAGGGTTCTACTTTCTTCTCTTGATGCAGTGTACTGTGATGTGTTCTTTTGCAATTATTGACATTGCAGATTCGTTTGCTTCGACATTGTTGCGAGCGATGTCCACGTCTCAAACACGACCAGCAAGCACCCTTCTCCTTGACAATCTTCTCCTTTTCCTCAATCGGTTTGGAGAGGTATACTCGGCACTCGCTTGTCCAGTGGTTACCATTTTCGTGAATTAGGCATTGCCTGTTTTGTTTGGTATTGCGTTGTTGTTCAACTGGATTGTCATCTTTCTTGTCAGTATGATTCACGGAACCCTTAATTTTTTCACTGCTCAGGCGTAACTCTGCGTTCTGGTATTCAAGAGCTCTCTTCAGGTTCAGTAGAAATCTCAATAGACTTGGAAACTTATCAGTTTTATCAATGGTGCTCGTGTCGTTGCTGACTAATCTCGCCCATTCTTTCATTACGTCAGGGGGTAATCGTTTCTCAATGATGCTGATCGAGCTAGTTGTAGTTATCTCTTTCTCCAATTTTAGGTTGCATAGATCGCGATAGCCTTCTTCAATGACATTGACGAATTGAATGAACTTTTTGTGCTCACCTTCCTTAATACATTTAACATTCTGAATGGAATTGATGATGGTATCAGCGACTTTTGCAGGATCGCCGTATTTGGAGTCTAGTCGCTCCCACATTGCTTGGATGTCGTCGTCTACGCTTTTTACATGAGCAAGGGGTTCCATTCCTAAGCAGGATCTTAGCGTATAAGGTGCAGTATTAATATTCAGATTGGGCATAACTTGTTTCTCGAAGTCTCGTTTGAATTGGGGGTAATCTCTTAACTCGCCATCAAATCTCGGCATTTTGATCTTTTCTAGGTGAATATTGCTAGGTTTCATGGCATCATTGGTAAGCTTAAGGGTTGCTCCGTCATTGGATTTGATGAAGGTTTTGCTTTCATTTTCATCGACGCGGGTTGCCATTAATTCTGAAATTTCACTGTAGCGTTGTTGAACGTCAAAAATCCACCGCAATTCTCGTTCTGCGGAGTCTTTATCAATGAGCTCGATTAACTTTTCGTGTTTTTGTTTACAGTCGACAAAAGCCTCTTCAAGCTGACTTTGCAAGTTTTTCATGTGCGTCGTTGTAACCTTTTCGTTTTCCATCGTATGGGAAGCATTACCATATAAGGCATCAAAGACTGCGCGCGCAGTGTTCCTTTTGTTGAGAATGCATTCCTTTTCTTTGCTTGCGGATTCGTCGCGTTCTTTTTCTGCGCGCGCTCTTGTTTCATTTTCTATGTATTCAAATTTTAAATTTCTCGCGTCCGTGTAGAGGTTTTGTAGCTCTTCGAGCCAATTTTCTGCTGTGTTCATCTCGTCATCCTTCAGGAGCTCTATATAGGCGTTGTGTTTACCTTCTAATTCCTTCCATGCTTTGACGAGCTCAGCATAATCTTCTTCAATCACATCTGCTATTCTTCTGTCGCGGACAGATCTCAGCAGCTCATTCTTTTTCCTTGTGAAGATTGTTCTGGCATTCTTCCGGTCTGTTTTCGCTTTTTCTGGATCCATTATCTTCGTGTTCACGTCCCAATGGATTTCGAATGTGACGGTGTGTTAGGACATTAATTTACCAAAGGTTCCAAACCTCGATATTTTATTACAATAAAGAACGGATGAATGTTATGACAAAATTCATGGATATGGATCGAAGATTCGAAATCTGTAAAGTAATCGGTTAACAAATTGGTTTCAGTTCATATCGATAATATCGAAAGAAATCAAGATAAATATTTACCCATTGGTTCTAGGTGTCCATAACACTGTCTAGCGATAGAAAATCTTAACAATTATATCTGTTATGTCATCAAATTATAATGCGCAAAGAAATTAGAATATTGCGCAATACAAATGGAAAGAATTGTATGAACACATCAACAATTGTTTTTGCCTTAATTATGTTTTGTGTTTTTTTCTGGTAAATACATCAAGTAAACAGTGGGTGTTTTACAAAGAACTTGTTTGAAATCTTGTGATTGTTAAAGATTGTTTAGGTTGACCAACTGTATTAATGAGTGACTACTCGACTTGGAAAACTCTCTTAAATAATACATTGAAGCATTGTTTATCACCTTAAAAAAAACAGCCACACAAATAAACAGTGGGTGTTTTACAAAAAACTCATTTGAAATCTTGTGATTGTTAAAGATTGTTTAGGCTGACTGACTGTATGAAAGAGTTACTACTCGACTTGGAAAACACTCTCAAATAATACATTGAAGCGTCAGTTAACACCTTAAAAAAACAACTGCCGCATAGGCCTGAATTTTTTTCAGGCCTTATTTTCACTATTGCTCAAGTAGTGTTCATGACTGCAAAGATCACTTTCATATTCACAACAACAACATTGTCAAATCAAAAGACTGTGCTGAAAATACTTGGCCGTATAAACAAAGAATGATGTCATGTAAATACTGGCAGTGTCTTTGAAGGTGTTTAAGCAACTAGTGATGAAACACAATTTTGCATAGACTTTTGCAAAGTGCTACATGTTTAATTATTTCTTATCTTGTAATTTAGATCCAGTTCTACCTATGTATTAATTTTTTTAAAAATAATATTATAAGGTCCTAGCCAACAAGTGTTTGTTAGAATTCAATTGTAAATATTGCAGTTTTTTTGTTTGTTTTTTTAGACCACAAGTTTTTAGACTACAAGTGTTAATTATAATTGATTTTAATATTGTAATGATTTTAGGTATATAAATGGCCCCTCTGGACAACAGCCTTGTCGCTGAATGGGCCACCCTGTTTTAAATAAATTTCACTTTACTTTTACTTTACTTCATTATGCTTGTAGAAGTTAGTAGGAATTTCACTGTTTCATGAAAAAGTCCAGTTCCAGATGTAAACTGTAATATGTACAATTTCCACAAGTATCAGTGATTTGGGCCCTTCACACTGTCATACCTTTATATTTTTTGTTCCATTTTCAGATTCACTAAAGAACAGATTCTCTGCCCCACATTCAATTGCTATTTCTTCTGCCTACAGAGGACACAAATCTTGATTTAAATATTACCAGTATTTAGCCTCTACTGTATGCATATTGTGTAAAGTGGATGTGTACTATAACTTTGATCGGTAATGAACTCTAATATTAACAACAGGAGCCAAACCAAACAAGGCAGAGCACACTTCAAATTTGCACAGATACATGTAGCAGTTAACCCTATTTACAGCCTAAAATCAGTGTGCATATTCTCCATACTGCTCTTTATACATTTCCTAAGGTGCTGACAAGGAGAATTTGTTCAATAATCAAAAGCTTCTTGCATTGATAATCATTTCATTTATTCTTATGACCTTGTGATTCAATGGGTGATATTGTGGGGATAAATTTGATGCATGTCACTCTTAGGGTTTAAAGTGTTAATGAAGAAAATCATCATGTTTTAGCTTTTCTATCAAGACAGACTCACATTTTAACCCTTTAACTCCCATGAGTGACCAAAACAGAATTTCTCCTTACAATATCAATACAATATCAAGGAGACAAGCGATGAGAATAAAAACAATATAAAGTAAGGGATTATTAGTTGATCCAGTACCAAATTCTCTGAACTAACATCACAAGAATTATATGGCAGATAGTAAGGAGAATTACTGATGAGATCTTGGGAGTTAAAGGGTTAAATCAAAAGTGACTTACCCTTTCAATACTTTCATTATCAGGATAATCAGGTAACTTGCGTTTTTCCTCCGTAAAAAGAAAATCTTCTATGGTTATTGTTCCTGGTTGATTAAAATTAGTAAATACATTAATCACAATTACTTCACAAGAATTTTTAGTTACTGTCAGTAGCAAATTGTTCCTCCATAGTGCTTGAGACTTAAGCACTGCATAGTTGAAAGAAAAAGTACAGACTTCCAGTAGTAGGTTTTAATATAGAGTAAACTTAGATTTTGCACTAAATCCTAGCTAATCAGCACCATAGAGAGTTCTTGAGCAAGAAACTTTGCCCTTACACTACTTCTCTCCTGAACACAGTTTAAATAGGTACCAACAAACTGTTTGGGGAATATGACAAAATGCCAAGGACTGGACTGGCATCTCATGCAGGAAGAGAAAAAAATACTCTAGTGCCCAGTTGTAACAGTTAAAGCCTCCAGGTGTTACCTTTGTGATCGTAGAGAAAAGGCACTGATCCTGCCTCTTTAGACACACCCCTGAAAATTAAAAAAAAAAGGAACTCCTACAAAAGCTATCTTTTGGAAAAAATGAAACAACACATCCCCACAAGTCATATGGTTTTAGAATATCTTTATAATATTATGTTTTTAATGAATTCTACATATCACATCATGGGTATCTGAATAAATTAATGTTTGTACAATATATCTTTGACCCTTCCCAAGATCTGACTAATAATTCTCCCCTCTTGCTGCTACACATTTCCTTGTAAATTAGTTCAAGAATTTGGAGTTAGATCAAGATCACAACTTGTACCTGATAAGTTTGAGTATCCTCTGTACCTGTTTGCTAAATAATGTATAGAAGTACTAGGGAAAAATTACATGTTCATCACTCCTGGGAGTGAAAGGGTTAAGAGGCTAAGGTGAGTCTATAATAGTAGGGTATATACAGTACATTAAGCTGTCCTAACTCTACACCTTTATATACTACATACGTATGCATATTTTCCATACTTGTCATTAAGCATTTCTTAAGGTGCTGATAAGGAGAGTTTGTTGAACAGTCAAGAGCTTCCTAGGATGGTGATCTGTTCCTTTACTCTCATGACCTTAATGGGTGATTCAGGGGTGCTCATGTAAGGAGAAATTAGATGCTAGTCACTCTGAGGAGTCAAAGTGTTAGTTAATATTTCTGTCATTTGCACAGATCAAGGCAGAATTCATCAGGGATACTAAACACTTACCCTTTCCTCCGTAGAATTCTGTTCATTTCATACTTTGCTTTGACTTTATTGGTTGTTAGCAGTTGTACAAGAAGTCCACAACCCCCTGGTCCTTTGATTTCAAGGAAGACCGTCTCAAAGGGGTTGTCCTTTGTCTAGAAACAAATCAGTACAAAACCTGCAAATCAGTGACAAATGGTCACATTTACCTAATTTCAACAGATCTGAAGAAACGAGTCAGAATATCCATTTGAAAAAATAGTCTATTTGATACAGTGACAGGGCGTCAAATCAATTTTTTTTTCTGATAGCCACTTGGCTCCTAAATTCCTCAAAGTGGTAGCCAATTCAAAAGTTGGTCACTATTTTCAAAGACAATCAAAACCCTTTTTTTACATTGTCAGCATTCTAGATAGACCCTCCAAAATTAAGTTAGGGAAAAGATCTTTAATGTGTCACAAAGAGGACACTAGGATGGATGATATAAAACATTCAAGCTCACCAGTAATTATGTCAGTTAAAAATCATTGTAGTGTTGGCATAATCATGTGAAGATACCATCCAAAGATAGTTTTACTTACCCCTGCTCCAGTTTTGATTGCCTTATCAATGGTATTTTTAGGCATGCTTATTAATCTAGCTTTTTCAACAAGTTTCTCCAAGCGAGGATTCATGCGCACATCTTGTCCATTCTCTATAGTCAATAAAAACAGCATTAAAGTTTACAGAAAAACCTTCAATCAACAGGAACATTGGGACATTAGAAACAAGAATCAATGCCCTTGAAAACATTCCACACCATGCAATAATCAAGCTCATTGATAATTTATGAGGATCACAACTTAGGGTAACCCTTTAACTCCCAGAAGTAATTACTATGTAAATTCTCTCTATGATATCTATACATTATCCACCACACAGGTAATAAGAATATGAAATTTATCAAGTTGAAGTTGTTGTCTTTTTCCAACACCAAATTCTCACAACTAATTTACAAGGAAATGTAAAGCAGCTAGTGGGGAGAATTAAAAATCAGATCTTGGGAGTTAAAGGGTTAATTCTATCATTACCAGGATCTCATAAACCCCTGACCAGTTTTCCATTAAGTCTTTAACTCCCAGATCAAATTTGTAACTCTCCTTCCTATCAACCGTATAATTTTCATGGTGTTAGTGCACAGAATTGAATACTGGATGAACTAATTATCCCCAAATTTATTTATTCTTTATTCTTTATTCTCATCACTTATCTGGTTGACATTGTATTGATATTGTAAGGAGAAATTCTGTCTTGGTCATTCATGGGAGTTAAAAGGTTAAAGGAGTAACAAAATGAGGAGTTTATCATAATTTGTCTTAGTCCAGCTGACAATAATGCATATTCTCACCACCTGTAACATTAATTATGCATTGAAATATAAGGAGAACCTAAATGTTGATAAATTCGAAGTCATATTAGGTGTTAAATATGACAGCTAGTCACCTCTTAATCTCTGAGATCCATTGACCGCTGACATTATACGTGTGTAACCGCACTCTTCAGTCATTTAGTATCACCTAAAATGTTTTTATCATTTGCTGTTTTTATCTGCTAGGAAAGAGAGTGACTAATTTCATCTTACCGCGCACCGCTGTGATGATTTCGAGAGATAATTTTCCAAACTCCTTGCTGCGCGCAAAGTCAATGTGTGCTTTTTTGTATTTTCTATTTTGCCATTCACTGTGTCCCTTCCATCTCAGCTGTGTTTTGGACAAACTCAAGGTAGTATTCGGTGGGCGGCACTGCCAAACAAACGCAGACAGGCCCCTCACGAAGCAGGGATTTCTTGTAACAGTGGCGGCCATCTTGGATTCGCGAAACTTTCACATCATCTGGGGAGAGGGATGAGTGAAACAAATTCACTGTCCCCATGAACTCAAAAGCTGCGTGATTTTTACATACTGTGGCTTGAAATATAATTATTTTTATAATTTATCTAAGTCTCTCGGAAACTACTGGCCCAAATATTGGGATAAAAAAAATTGAAACTCATTTGTGAAATATATCCTTTCCCTCCCTCCCTCCTCCAGCTCCCCCTTCACTGATCATTATTTTGACCCTATCGCTCGGTTACCAAGTCTTTGCTCGGCACCAAAAGAGAAAGACACGTACTGTGTAGTTTTCATCAGATGATTTCGGTTTTCTCTGATTGAAAAGCGCATTCACCAAAGCAAAGAGCTCGAAAATTAACATGCAGTGGTTTACGGGAAGTATTCCAGAAGCCATTTTGGAATCTAGACAGAAAGGAATAGTGTTTATCGTTTATATTGAAGGTAAGAGGTGTACGATTTTTTTAGTGAATCTTGTAAGTTTCTTTCCGTAATTGTACTTAAGCAAAACTCGTAAATGATTATTAAGATATTTTCCTCACCCAAATTGATCTAGCTGAGATCCTTAAATGAATCTCCTCTCGATTTACGCCAAATTATCAGAGAGGGTGTTACTTGATTAACTCCTAGGATCTCATCGGTAATTCTCATAATTGTATGGCATGCAATTCTTATGATGTTGGTTTGGAAAATTTGGTACTGGATCAACTAATTAACCGTAATTTGTATTTTTCTTTATTCCCATCGCTTGTCTGCTTGATATTGTATTGAAAGGAGAAATTCTGTCTTGGTCACTCATGGGAGTTGAAGGGTTAAAACCAAATTCTCTCATGTTTTTCACAAGGAAATGTATAGAAGGCATTGGGGACAATCAGTTATTGGATCTTGGGAGTGATAGGTTTAACTATTTTTCTCAATATTTCAAGAGATGTGATAAAGCATTGGGTCTCACATTTGATAACACTTCTTATGACTAAACCTTTCTTCATGCTTAATTGTATTTTCTTCAGAGTTATTGCTAAACTGAAATGAAGCCAGATTTGTAGAACAAGGATCAAAAAATTTTAAAAAGTAATCATTTTATTTGGATCCAATTAAATCTTTTACAGGAGATAATGAAGAAACAATCAGAATGAATTCAACATGGGAAGATCCCAAGGTACATGTTATTGTACATGTAATTTCAATCCTCTCAGATCCTCCTTAAGATTGGTAGAACTTAGATGCACTCACTTGTTTGTTTTGTTGTTGGTTTTATTTGCTTCTTCCAATTTTTAGTAAGTATTATGGTTGCAAGAAAGAGCCACACTCTTGCATTTGTCAGGAAAAGAGGGAGTTGGATTTTGGATAAGAATTCCCTCTGCTCCATAATTCCCATAATAGTAAAAATAAAAATTTCATACCTGGCACTAAACTAAAATTTAAGAGCTTTACTAATAAGTGATAGGAAAAGCTAATGATTGTTAAATTCAGATTGCAGGGATATTTTCAAGAGAGAAATGTGTGGCAATAAAATTGGATCACAAGAGGTAATTACTCAGTAGAAAATACAATTTTTCTTTTGGAATGCAAAATTTATTTATTTATAATGCAATATTTATCAGTAACCAATAGATACACCAGTATACTACTAACACACACCATATTAACCCTAAACAGGTACAGAAACACTTCTGTGTATTTTCTGTGAAACTTATTTTTACAATTAAAGCCACAGAGATAATCTTTTACTTGCAATGGTTAGCTGCAGTAGTCTTAAAGTGCAATCTTTGTCTACATCTAAAGTATGTATTTTTGTACAGTCTGTAGATTACCACTTCCTGTCAGGTGTAGGCTTTTTTGTTTTTTAGTTGAATAATAGAAGTTCTAGGAGCAGATTCCCCAAAGATGCTGAAAAGGTGTCATACTGAAACTATTTGTGAGAATGCTGCCTGTAAGCAGCCGCCAGAGCAGTTTAAGAAATTGTAATGTTTGCTCATGGCTGCTAAAGAATAAAGAAAAAAATTTTAATCACTTAAACCTAACCCCTTAAAGTGAATATGGCTGCAAATGAACTTACTTGAATGTGTAAATACAGAGGTTACATGTGAGGTGAGATCTCTGCATTATTTTGAGAGAGCATCCCCAATATTATGGTTGTGCATTTTTCAGTTTTTAGGGAAATGATTACACTTAATATGTTTTGCTTAGCAACATAATTCAGTCAGAAAATTTCAGTCTTTTACTTTCTTCTTGATCTACTTTAGCGAGGACTGCAAGCAGTTTTCTAAACTTTGTATCCTTTGAAAACATAGAAGTCACATGTGATGGAAACTGTTGTAGATGTATCTAAAGAATTGTAGACTTTTTTTTAAAGATACACATGTATGGGAAACACCATAGGATTATCATATTCTTTTAAGTGCCCAAACATTGCTGATCTGCTTGGAATGGTTAATGGTAAAAACTGCATTAAAATATGCTTTAATTTGATACATTTATAACTCACTCCTAGTTATATAGTCAATAAATTTAATGTGTAACTCTCAGGTGATTGTTAGGCAACCAAATGAGAGCTCAATGACCAATCAACTCTTCCAAAAGGTAATTTAGTGATATTATTGTTATCATTATCATTATTATTATTATTATTATTATTATTATTATTATTATGTCAATTGTTTATATTCACATTCAGATCCTAAGAAAATTTTAATCATATTGCTGCTTGCAAAAATACTTTTTTGATGCAATGTAAAAGAGGCCTTAACTTGCCATCTTAAATATGTAGACCCTCTAGTTTGCATTCCTGCCACATATTTTATTGGTGAAAGTGGTTTGCCTTTAGAGGTTGTTGGTGGAAGTCTTCCTGTGGACCAATTTGTTACAAAAGCAGAGAAAGTTTTTGAGGTACTGTAAATATTTTTATTCAGGATGTGGAATACCTTCTTACTCACCTTTGCACTATTTGATGGGTAACCATTATAAACTATGTATCAATGGAAAGGTTACAAAATGTGCCATCCACCAAAGCAGTTTCCTTCTAGCTTTATATAATTGTAAATTGTCTTGAGGTATTCAATTTTTTGTACCCATCTAGTTGTGCAATTTTTATCTTTTTGAATTTTGGGCTTTATTACATTTTAGACTCACTTGAGGTCAACTTCAATCAAACCTGTATCAAGCACTGTGTCTCAGAACAGTGAAGCTTCTATTTCAAGTGAGCAGTCTTCAGTGAGTAGCTCTCCTGCAGTAGAGCCTGCATCACAACAGAACCAAGAGGTTTCTAACAGAGAGACTGAACCTAGACCAGGACCATCAGAGGTGGGAAAAAATAGATGAGATAGTTCATGTAATAGTGTAGTTTGATTGTTCAGGTGAGTGTAGTCCTGAGAAAGACTGTTGTGTAACTTGTTCAGTTCCATGTTAAAACTGACAACCTTTATTTATTAGGAAATCATTATAATTTATACAAAGTGCAGTGCTTGTGCTTTTGCTAATTGCATAGTTGTGCATGCTGTGCGAGTGCAAAAGGTGACAGTTATATAGTGCAACAGTTGTTGGTAGTGGTAACAGAAGTTTCAACATCATCATCATCATCAGAGTTAATTCCTTGACTCTAACAACAGTATTACATGTTACCCCTAGGTTCAAACCATTTACTGTAGAGATAGTTAACATATGAAGTTGTCATTCAGTAGCATGTTGCTTAAATGGATAATTCAATTAAGAAGGCCATGAGCTACAGCTGTACTTCTTTTTTATTCCAAGGTTTGCAGATTTATGGCATTGTCAAGGAATGTGACAATGCCCTTGAACAGGAAAAGTTTGGATATGATTTCTACCAGTGTCCACCGTTTAAATAATATTGTCTATTTTGGAAATTTTTCAAGTGAAGATGGTTGGTTTTGGCCCAGGCTATGATTGTACATGTAGTTTTTAGACAAAAAAAATCATAAGTGAATGGATTTGAGGATTGTAAACTTAGGAAAAGTATGAACCACAGTTGGTAATTCATTTATTGTTTGATTCTTAGGAGCCTTATGGCAGAGACCAACAGGGGGAATTATTAGAAGACAAAGTGGAAAGGTTAGTCATATTTCTGTTGAAAAGTTTTGTACAGGTCACCAATCTACACAATGTACATAAGCTTGAGAAAGTAGCCTGTGGTGCTAGGCTTGATACAAGGAATGGTTGTGCCAGACCCCTAATAAATGTCAGGTTCAAACTGCCAATTTCTTAAATAAATGCCAGATGCATTTAATGGGGGCCCTGGCATTTAATCAATGTCCCGGTGTTTATTTGCAGCTGAGGTCACATAGACCAGTCATAAGTAAGTAGTAATCTCTTGCCTATAAACAGATCAGAGGACGAGAAAATCCACTGTTTTAAGGCAGTAGGTCCACTAAGTAATGGAAAGCATGAGTTCACAGAAAGAGTGGCTGCATTTTTCAATGTGCTGGAACAAGCCACTCCTGTAGATAAAAATGAGGCCTTTGTTAATTAAGAGCCAGACATTTTTGAAAACAAAAACTTAATGAATGAAGTTTAGTATATTATTAAAAACTTAAATTATTTGTGTACCATACATTGGCTGACACAAACAAGGAGGACATTGGCAACATTGCCGTTTATAAAGTTAATTAAAACGAGGAGGACATTGGCAACATTGCTGTTTATAAAGTTAATTAAAACTTTGTACTCATATCATTTACTTGCTCCTACATTATTCACATTTTGTTTATGCTCTGTTTGTTAGGGACACAAATCTTGATTGCAACTTGGTACACATGCCATATGTTCAGTACCATAATACTGTAACTTTGGGTAATCCAGGCGCATGACAAAGGGAGAAATTGTCCTGCACTAAGAAACTGTTCCTAGGTCTCTGCAAATCAGTAATAATAAATCACCTTGCAAAAATGGCTTAAAATTTCATTTCAGTAAATTAACTGTAGACCCCTATTATGGCCTCACAAAGAAGCAGGTCAAACCTGCCCATTTTTAAATATACTTGCCTGCTGCATTTTATCAAGAAAATATGGTATTTATGTTTTAGTCTCAAAAGTAAGAGCAGTAGGCAGTTTGGAACTCTTCTCCATCTTATGGTTGATTGTGTCAGATTCTTGAGTAAGTTTTAGCACGAAAGTGACAACAATTATTCGTAAGTTACTGCTACTATGAATTTTAACTCTCTCTTCCTGTTGTTGAGCAGAGCAAAGCAACTTATTGAACAGAGGAGACTTGAGAAAGAGGAATCAGAAAATCAGGTGAGTCCAATTTTCTAATCTAAATATAGTTGTAGTATTCTTTTTGTGGTTGTTAAAACTCATGGTGTAGCTCTGCACTTTGTAAATTATGGATGAATTATCTACTTGTAAATTAATCTTTTTAGTAGATATTTCTGTGAAATACACAATATAGTCACTAACATGTACTTGTTTGAACACTTTCTAAAAATGAACGATGTCATCAATCAATCTCCAAATATTTTTCTCTCTAAGGCACAAACTTATCATTATTATTATTATTATATGAAGTATAATTGTTCATATTAAAATAATTATTAGTATTATTGTTTTTATAAGTTTGTTCTTATCATTATCAATCCTATTCAAGTTCTCTTAAGGTTATGTTTTTATTTTGTCCAGAACTTCATGACTTTTTTAAGCAGTTTTTTCCCTTGAAGCAAAGCTTCTTTGTTAATAAGCCAACATCAAGCTTATCTCATTTTCTGGGGCATGACATCACTAAGAGTTACGAAATTCCCTTAAAAGCAAGGTAGTCCATTCCAAGATATCCTTTTGCACTCTTTCATGTTTCCCAGACAGTACCCCATTTAAATGTTTATAAACCTTGGTGGAGAGAGATACTGTGAGAATATATTGTCTTGTTCTTAAGAACACCACAAAATGACCTTCTGATCCTTTCAATCTGAAGTCCAGTATCTTACTTCTAGCCAATAGGCAATTATGTTTCAGTTTTTAATGAGTTCATAATAGTGAAATAAATGTTATAAACCACTCACTGCTTTAGCACTATGATTTGGCAAAATACAAATTTGTTATCTTCACTAGTGAAGAGATGATAAAGAGAATTCTTTGCATTCTAGGAAACCAAGAAGAAAGAATTTGATAGACGTCATCAGGGACAAGAACTTGGTAAAGCAAAAAGGGACCGAGAAGAGAGACAGGCACAAAATATTGTGAATCAAATCAAAGAAGACAGAGCCAAAGAGCGGGCCCACAGGGAAGCTGTGCGGCAGCAGATTGCTAGAGATAAAGCAGAAAGGGAAGCTAGGCGACAGAATGAGGTGCAGGAGAGACAGCGTGCTCAAGCTGCCTCACCCTCACCTTCAACTACCATGACTGGAGGCAGTGAGGGGTTGGGAAAGACTGAGTGGTAAGTAAAGTAGAAATACACTGAAACATATCATTTGTACAGGTTTAGAGTTCTTGAATATCCTTCTCTTACATTGTAAAAGTAATTAAAGTACATGTGATTTATAACATCAGCCATGATTACTTTAGTTATACATTGTTGTATTGTATTGTTATTAACTGCTCTGTACATGCAACAGAGACTTTTTGTTTTTACTTAGCATTTCTGCCCGGCTCCAGTTTCGTCTTCCAGATGGCAGTTTGTTAACAAACTCTTTCTCACCTGATACTCCTTTGGAGACCATCCAACAGTATATCATCTCTGTGAGTAATTAATTTTTACAAGAACACATATGTGTATATAATTATAAAAACAAGCAAAATTTAAGGAGCTTTCAGAGAATTCTATCTAGATAAGTAGAGGAGAATTCAGTGTTAAATGTATTGGAACTATAATTGTTAGGTTCTTATTTTAGGGGCCAGAAATAGTTTTCTTAATCTTCCTCCTAAACAGACTAGATATCCCAATTCTTAGGTCTGCATTAGATTCTTAATATCTGCAACCTTGCCTGTGTGTGTCCAATCAAAGATTCTCTTCAAGACCATTTGATTTTTGTCAATTGTCCTCACAGCCATCAACCCCTCCAAAACATAAGTGAGATCTTTTGACCAAATTGGTAATAAATTTACTGAAAATAAGTTTTATTAATTATGTGAATCTTTTCAATTGTTCTCAGCAACTAGGACCCAGTTCCAGCTCAATAACAATGTTCACCACCTACCCTAGGCGGGAGCTGACCGAAGAAGACCTGGTAAAGAGTTTGGCTGAGTTAGGTCTGGCACCAAGTTCCACTTTAATCGTAGCTGTGGTAAGTTTAAGATCAATATTAGGTTGTTTTTAAAAACATTCATCCATTGGAAAAAGTGAATATTTGTCTCATGTGAACCTGGCATATGGCCTGGCTTACCAATGAGTTTTGTTTAATTTGTGTAACTCAGAGTTAGGTAATGGAAGTTAAAACTTTAGGAAATCAAAGGAAGGTTGTGTTTTAGGAAAGCTTGGGTACCACATGCAACCAACTTTAGCTTTTTCTTCAATCCCAATAAATGTTTAATCTTTTGTTGTGTTTGTTTTTATTTTTCATTGGTTAATTATAATTGTATTTGTGAAAAATGTTTCCTTAAATTCTTTGAGTGAATTTCCACATTCTCCCATCATTCAGAAATTTCCCAAAACTTGAAAAGATAAATAAGCAATACTAAACTTTCATTTTACAGAGAGGAAGTAATTCCATCACTCCATCTGGGACTTCATCATTCCCTGAACTGTTGTTATGGATTCTTTCACCTTTGTTCACACTGATTAACTTCCTGAAAGCTTTCCTCTTTGGTAGTCCTGATCAGTCTAGAGGGACACAGAATCCTCCTTCACAGAGAACAAACAGCAGCACACAGTCACAACCATCAAAGTGAGTCTTTTTTTGGTGGTTTGCCTTTTGTAAACAGCTGCATAGTTTGTTGTTCAACTTTATCACACTAGTTTGGTTGTTTGCTTGTTGGTGTTAAGAATGAAATTCTTTTCTCAAGAGCCAAAAAAGAAAAAGCAAAAAGAATTCCCAGATATTAAGTTTGAAGAATCTTATTTACAGTCAATTTTATTGTCCATTGTGTTTTTTGGCTTGTTGTTAGACAGATAAAAGTTTTGGAGAATTAATCAACTTGTGAATGCTTGAAAGTACACATATTTTTCCACTGGTGACTATACTAAATATTCAATTATCACAATTTGCAAATTTCACAAAAACAAAGATGGTCTCTTGTTTTAGATTGTCATTTCAGCAAGTAGAATTTGGGCTCATAAGCTTTTCTATCTTATGAGAAAACACAGCAAAAACAAAATGTAATGAAAGAAATGCTCTTCTAGTCAAATTCAGAGTCATGAACAATATCTAAGCCCCTTCCTTCCTAAGGTTACATGCCAACCTTCTTGCTGTTTTTTTTTGTTTTTTTTGTTTTTTTTTTCCCATGGCAGTTCTGGTGTACGTCATAGAGTCCCAGGTGGTGTTTCATCTGTAAAGAAAGAAGGCGGAATTCATCGGCTTCACAACAGAGATGATGAAGATGACGACAATAACACATGGAATGGAAACTCTACTCAACAGATGTAAC